AAAGACCCACTTAAGCGACTGTACCTTCGCATTACCCAACTTAAAAGGATTTTTTTTTCGCTCTGTTTTGTTGTAAATTACACAGATTCTGCTCAACACTGTATGAATGCTATGGCTAATTAAGCGCCTAACCGCTACACCTCGGACGCCAGTGGACTGTATCAGAGCAGCGATATACAATCACCCACTTTTTTTAAAAGGACAGTGTCTCAGTACCAATATAAATACATGTGAAAATGTTTAGCCATTGTCATTTTTTTGGTATGATATAATGTGCCATAGGTATTATTTAATGTCCATTTCAACCCAGTAGGGTTGTTTTAGGTCGGGAGCTCCAAATAATAAGGCAGAGTTAGGAATAGTAAAATTATTTTCTCTTCTGAAAGCTTCTCAAACATTTCAAGTCCGAGAATGGCCAGCAAAATTAAATCATTTTGAATCGTGGTCGATCGCAGCCCGTCATGGTACCATCAAAAACTATCTCTACTTCTCCAGGTGTCAGGTCTAAAGAAGACATTGACAATCGTATGGTACACCACTCCTTTTTGTTGCTTGTCTTTATGATCAGCTCGGCTTTATTCATTGTTATTACTGCAAAATTGTTCAGACCATGATATGTGTATGTTGTTCATAGTTTGCCTCTGCTCTTCTTTCTGATGTCTTTTCGCACAGCAACAGTTCAGTTTCTCTAGCCCGTTTGATCTATCCATGTGGCCAAAGAATCTCAATTGTCTTCAATTGATGGTTCTGATAGTGATATGATATAGAACACAACCTGCCATTTGGAGCATTATTTCTCTATTATTTTGTTTTCTTCTCTCCATGAGATTCCGAGTATTCTTCTTAAATAATAGGTCTACCACTTAAAGACAAAATATTATGGACCCTAAACTCTGCACGTAGGCCTGATGTAGTAATAATGTTTCACAAGTATATGTTTTTACAATTTAAGAAATGTCGATATTTTTGTAGATAACTCTGATACAACTGTGACATTCCGAAAACATTATGGAATATCAAGGGACGTAGCCCATGTATCGGTCATCAATATCAATACTCGTGATTGCCTCCCTTCGTCAACAATCGTTATTTCTCAGAAGACAACATAAGAAAGAAAGAAAGAAAGAGAAAAATAAGGAAGAAAGAGAGAAAACTGGAAACATTAACAAAAGTGAAAAAAAAAGCACAGATATATCTGAATGCGGATGACCCCCAAGCAATTACCTGTCCTACTGGTGTAGAGTGGTCGATTTAAAAGGGCCCCAGAATCTCAAAGTAAGGCTTGGAATGGAGTCTTACAACCACCAATATGGAAAGAGGTGCAGTCACAACCAAAGAAAGCAACAGTCTCAGAATACCAACTGTTAAAAAGTATTGAATACTCTTTAACACACCAGAAATCTCATAACTTTCCTTGCCACAATTATATGCGTCACAATGTGGTGGAATCAGGCACTCAACAAATTTTGAGTATGTGGAGTTATAAAAGTTTGTTCATTTGTCTATCTTTTAATGGAAAAAAATACCTATGCATCTTGAACAGAAGTAGAGATATTTGCTATTGAACGAAGTGGGGTTGCCTGGTTTCTGAGGTGAAGTTAGCTAGAAAATGGCCGACAGAGTCTGGTTATTTCCATAGCTAAAGTGTCTTTGGAAACTGAAAATTTACTCTTTTTTTTTTAGCTTTTAATGAACATTTTTCAGTAAAATCAACGCAAAAATGTGTCTTTGAATTTGACTGGACTTGACATAAAGTGTGTTCAGCCCAAAAAATTTTTATCCATAAAAATTGCCAAACTGGCGAAAAAATGCCAATTTTTTGTAATTTCATTATTTTGACAAGCGTCTGATTCCAACACGATGCCTCACATAATAATATACAGTCAAACCTGCTCTTTGTTTTATTACAATCAATTTTTACGGCACTTACAACACAATAAGGTCATATAAGTGCCGAAGATTAGAGGTGTTACAAGAGAGTAACAAACACGAAAAAAGAAGGAGGAGAGGTAAGGACAATAGATGTTTGATAGGAAAGAAGAAGGGGAGATAAGGACGACAGATGTTTGATAGGAAAGAAGAAGGGGAGATAAGGACAATAGATGTTTGATAGGAAAGAAGAAGGGGAGATAAGGACAATAGATGTTTGATAGGAAAGAAGAAGGGGAGATAAGGACAATAGATGTTTGATAGGAAAGAAGAAGGGGAGGTAAGGATGACAGATGTTTGATAGGAAAGAAGGACCAAACCACTCCAGAGCAACAACCAACCACCTACGAGCCTGCTCTAATTGCCACCTGTATAAAATAATCACCGATACAAATACTTACGTCCCATTTCCTCTCTAGCTTATCTTCTTACATAAATATAAGACAGTGTGAAAGACACACTGTATAAAAAAGCCATTTTTCTCTCGGACAATAGGTGGCCATTTCAGACAGTTTTGACTTTTATCAAAGAAAATTTCAGAATGTTAACATAAGAACAGTGACAATTTGACTTGGGAAACTGTAAATAGTTTATTGTTTCGGTCATGTACATATCACAATGCACTGAAAGGAAACCCCACCAGTCTAGTAAAAATTGAATTTTCTCTAAAATTTAAATGGTAAAAACTTTTGAGACAAATAATTTAGTAAGCGCTCAAGGGCCACATTAGCACTTCAAAGTAAAACTCACCATGCGATACCATTTTGTAGATGATTGTATTATCTCACCATCATAATGATCCGTATTTATAGTCACAGTAAAAGCAGTGAGGAAATAAAGTGTATAAGGAATAGAAAAATCATTAATTTACACTAATTTTTGTCTTCAAATATTGCAATAGAATCTTATCTCCTTTCTCCTTTCATCACTTCTCAGTGAATCAGGTATGAGTAAGACTGATGGTGGTATGGAAGAAACGGAAGGAGAGGGAGATGAAGACAAAGATAATGTGTGAGGGAAAATAGTGTGGATTAGCACTGAGCTTAACATCTGCATTATTATCATTTTACGATAAAGTATATGCTACTTGTACAATATATTCACTCAAATGAAAAAAAAAAAGCAATCAGTCACACTTGCTCACATCCTAACAGAATCAGAAAAGGATAAACAAGATTCATATATACAAAGTTCACTTTTTGCTAACTATAAGAAGTTTGAACTAGCAAACAAAGGGTATCTTCATTTAATTTGCTCTTATTTGGGGTCCAGTAGTTCGTATTCTTGAGTCGTAGTTGTCTTTTTGTAAAATATATGTCATATTTTAGAGTTTGAGAGCAAACAGTATCATGGCAAATCCTTCCCTCTATTATCCCTTTATCTAATCGTCATCATCATCCTCCTCTTCCGCCTCCTCCATTTCCTCCGCGGCCTCGGCAGCTTCTTGTTGTGCGGCTCTGAGAGCAGCCTCTTCCTCAGGTGTGGGATCCTCTGTCTCTGTGATCTCCGGCCCGCTCGAGTATTCTTCTTGGATGGGAGGTGGAGCAGGTGGGCTGTAGTTGTCTGACTTGTACTTATGACCATAGCCGACGTAGATGTTCTCAAATTTCCTGTTTGAAAGCAAGGATGGTTTGTTTCAGTCAAAGCTAAATGACTTGGCATAACAGTGGTCATTTCGTGTTGGGAAAAAAGAATAGAAAAGTAGATGAACATTCAAGACTGACAGACCACTATTGTGTAACCAATAATTTGCATTTTGGGAGACGAGTGGAATCATTTTCATCATGCATCTCATTTCACAGGTATGGAGTGATTTTTCTTTAATGACTCTGATGAATTCGAAAAACAAAGTTTTTTAAACTTAAGATTTCCAAAGAAATTAATTTTTTTTAAACCAAACTCAAAATGAGAAAAAAAAAATCATAAATCACGGCTAGAGTAGATTAATCATAAGCTATGATTTAAAAAGTATGTTAAGATCTGCAAATCCTCTCCAAACCACCTAACTTCAGATCAACATCTGAACCCAGATATCCATCTCTATTCCATTACTCAAGTGTCTTATCAGATTAGACAACACGTTATATTTTTTATCCACTCACTTTTCAAAAGCAAAAGCATGAGCTCCTGGCCACAAGTTGGAGTGCATCACCGCAATGGCAAACTGTGGGACCAGGTTAGACGAGAGAGCCGGTGTCCACGCTGGCATTGCTCCGATCTCTTCATCCTCAGCCAGAGGGGTCAAGAGGGCGGGTCCAGTTTCTGGCTCAGGCTCATCGGGCTCTTCTCTCTCTTCCTCTTCATCTTCATCCTCAAAATCGTCTTCATTTTTCTGCACTGGATTCCACCATGAGCAACGACCCTGAAGATTGAGAGAAAAATTAGTGCATTGAAATTATTTTGAGACAAAATAAAGAAAACTGAGAACAAAAAATTAACCTCTAAATTTAGTGGGAGACTGTGTGTGGGTATGTAAAGTTTGTTAACACCAGTGGGAGTGAGTGGGTATGTTTGTGAGTAGGTATGCACGCCAATGGGCGTGCTTTTTAGTGGGTATGCATGAGAAATGTGTATGCGAGTGTGCATGCGGTGTACGTGTGTGTGTGTATGTGTGTGTATGTGTGTATATGTGTGTGTATGTGTGTGTGTGTGGGTGGGTGGACGAGTGTGGTGTGTGTGTGTGTGTGTGTGTGTGTGTGGAGAGACATATGAGTGAAGAAAGACAGAAAGAAGCGAAGGCAGAGGGACAAGGAAAGACAAATACTGAAAAAGAGAAGGCATACAAATAAAAAAGTGTGTGCATGTGTTTGAGCATGTGTTAGTACCAGCTTCAGTGTGGGTGTGTATGTGTGTGTGTGTGTGTGTCTGTGTGTGTGTCTGGGTGTGTGTGTGTGTGGGTGTGTGTGTGTGTGTGTGTGTCTGTGTGTGTGTCTGGGTGTGTGCATGTGTGTGTGTTTGACAAATGGAGAGAGAGAGAGAGAGAGAGAGAGAGAGAGAGAGAGAGAGAGAGAGAGAGAGAGAGAGAGAGAGAGAGGAAGAGAGAGTGAGAGAGAGGGAAGGAGAGAGAGAGAGAGAGAGAGAGGGGGAGAGAAAGAGAGAGAGAGAGGGGGAGAGAAAGAGAGAGAGAGATAAAACAGAAGAAAGGGGAAGAGAGATGAAAAGAGAAAGAGATAGAGAGAGATAAAATAGAAGAAGGGAGAAGAGAGATGAAAAGAGACAATAGTTGTAAATGATTACTGCCATGAAAATTGTTTCAGCTGAAAATGCAATTTGAATTTGTCTTTATTTCTGTTGATCACTTCCAGCAAAAAGAAAGATTTCTTTTGAGTAAAACAAACTTCTTTTCTTATATTGTTGAATCATTTACCTGAGGCAGGATGTGCTGCACATGATGTACCCAGTTGGCCAGAGAGGGGTCGGCCAAATCCCTCACGGGAATGCCTTCAAAGTCAATGTTCTCCACAAAGTGATCACGTCCTGGTTACAAATGAAAGAAAAAGTCACAACTGTCCTGTCAGAAGCTCTTGTGGAAATTGTATTTTGTGAAATGAGTGCACAGATGAATTTCAAGAACATTTTAAAAGTTCATTCCGTTCCAATATTATACTTGTTATCTTAATCGTATTATATTCAACACATTTATCTAAAAGCATAGCTATCCAAGTTGGTTAAAGTAATGGCAGCATATGCCAGGTCTGTTATTGTGATATAACACTGCATTTCAAATTAAATAAGTTCAAGAGAAAATAATTTTGAATAACTTTTTATATTCTCTATATTTATTATTTTTCTAACAATAAAAACTGCTTTAAAAATCTGAAATATTGTGTTATTTATACTTACCCTCTGCTTCCTCTTCTTCTTCTTCCTCCTCATCGAACTGGTAGAAATTGAGAGGAGAGATGTGGGTGCCTGCACTGATTCTGGCAATTTGAGCTCTCAAGTAGTTGGCCTCGTTGCCAGGGAAAGGAGGGTAGCTCACAACCTGTCAGGACATCACATTGATACTTAGAAGACCATTCAAATATTGTGTAATCTATCCATCAGCAAACCTCAGCATCCACTTCTTCCTCTCTCTCTCTTTCTCTCTCTCTCTCTCTCTCTCTCTCTCTCTCTCTCTCTCTCTCTCTCTCTCTCTCTCTCTCTCTCTCTCTCTCTCTCTCTCTTTCATTCTTTCTTTCTTTCTCTCATTCTCCTTTTTTCTCTCTCTTTGTCCCTCTCTCTCCAAATCAAATTACTCTTAGTTCTTTGCAAACTGTGGCACTGGTGGCAGCACTCTTTGTAATTCCATTATAACACTACCCTATGGTATAACATAAAGACAAAAAAGAAATCCCAAAATAATTCTGAACTCTTTATATATGGGCAAATCAATACATAATATATCTGTTTTAAACGAACACTGAGCTTTACAGTTAAAAAACTAGCTTTACAGTTCAAAAACTTCTAAACGTCTCCAAAATTACCATTCAGCTTCAGTAATGAAAAAAGAAATATGTGTGTCTAATTTCTTTAATGCATAAACAAAAGAAAGACATCTTAACATTCAACCTTTTTTAGTGAAGTATTTAAAGCTAAACATTATCAAAACTTCAAGTAAAAACACACAAATAAACTTACAGCGGCATCAAGTCTGCCAGTCAGGAATTTTTTTACTTGGCGGGCCACACTGATCTGATTTGGCTGAACAAGTGGAAGTTTCACCCATGGTTTCCCAGCTGCAATAAAATTATTTATAATGTTCCTTGTGATTTCAGGTACCAGAAATTTTAATAGAGAAAGAGAACTTTCAGTCTCTAATCTCAACATGAATAAGTGCATTGGTGAATGAAATAATTATAATAGACACTCTGAGGTGATAATTTGTTTCAGCTGTTCAAACAAAAAGTACTTTATAAACTAAAATTGTTTTCAGACTCAACAATCTTGGTAAGCTTACCTAATGTGCAAAGAAGGTAATACTTTTTTTCCCTTTTTGTTTGTGTGTTTAATGTTGATGTTTCTTATGCCCCCATCAACACAATTTAGATATTTAAGAAGGCTGGCTTCTAACCATGCCTGTCAGGCCAACCCAACATCCCACCAGAAAGACTAAGATATTCAAGACAAATTTTCTCCATACTCAGGAATCAAATCAGGTCTCTGCATGTGACAGCAAAGTGCCTAAACAACAACAACAAAAATATCTGTTACCCAATACAAGATTCAATAAGAATCATCTGATCCTACACAATAAGAAATAAAGAAACACATTTTGTAAGATAAAGCATGTTGTGTCTTCAAAGAAAAAAAGAAAACTACCTGAAATTAAAGGACAAAGCAAGCAACACACATTTTTTGTTATGGCTTACAATTCAACTATTAATACTTTCACTTGCATTCAGCATTTCAATTAACTTTCTTCTAGTATTATGATATGTAGTCTTAGTAAATATTTCTCCTTAAATGGAGACTTAGAAATTCAAGGAATTTGATGTCAAAAAGCAGACTTACGGTCGTTGCAGACAAAATAGGTTTTCTTGTTTGCTCCAGTTCTGTTTTCTTCTTTGGGAACAGTAGGTGGGGGTTTGAAATCTGGCTTGGGTGTGTCGTCCTCCTCTACCTCTTCTGTTATGAAAAAGGAAAGGAAAGAACCAATTATTGAAAATAATAATAATTATAAGAAACAGATTGTGTTTACAATAACAGAATAAAAAAGCAGGCAGTATTTGTGAGGCAGTGCGGTGAAATCAGGCGCTCGTCAAAATACAGAAATCTGAGAAACAGGCATTTTTTTGTAAGTTTGGAAGTTTTTATCGAATTTTTGTTCTTTGCTCAACCTGCTCTTTTATGTCTGTATAAAAATACATTTTGGTGTGAATTTTACTGAAAAACATTGATTAAAGGCACAAAATATGTCATTTTTCTGTTTTTAAGCACTCTTTATCTATTGGAGTTACCAAAATTGGACTGCCATTTTTTAAATAATTTTCCCACTGAAGCCAGGCGCCCCTCACTTCCATCAATCGCAAATGTTTTGAGTTCTATTCAAGATAGATGGATATTTATTTCATTTGAAACAAGGCAAACAAATCAGCTTTGAGATGATACCAATAACCCCATAAGTCCAAAAATTGACAGGCGCCTGATTCCACTGCATCGTGACACATTTAACTTCCTCAAAGGCGAATCCTATGGCTTTCTTTATAATCTTTTTATTTAATCTACCAATGCTCTCAACGTTAATAAACATTTCTCAAATTTTCAATATGACATTCATTATCACACAATCTGAGATCTTTGGAAAAGAAAACTCATTCAGACAATAATATATACCTTCATCAGCGTCTTCATCAACCTCTTTTTCTGGAACTTCATCGTCCTGTGCTTCCTCGGGCTACAATAATAAAGAAACAAACAAAGAAAATATATAGGCCTATATATAAATGTATATATATATAACAAGAAAAGTCTACACATACGGAGTGAAATAATAATGTACTGTGCAAGAAAATTATTATTTTCCATTTAAAGTTACGCAAAGGTTAACACAAATTAAAAGTGATGGGTTTAAGCAAAAGTCATTTCTTAAAGGAAGTATATAAGCACTAGTCTTACTCCACAACAACTACTTGTATAACACGAGAAAGATTTTTTTTAAATGAGAGCAAATGTTGGATATCAATTTGTAGCATACATAATATAATAGAAAAAATGTATTGAATTTTTGCTTTACAAATATTTGTCTAATATAAGTAGGCCCCTATGGATTTATACACAACAATAATAACAATACTGATAATAAATTACACTTATATATATCGCACATATTCATGCTCTACAGCATGATTTGCTCTCTGTGCTTTACATTCAGACCTTGAGACACTAAGAAATAGAACAGCACTTCTTTACTAACAATTACTTACCTCTTCCTCCTCCTCTTCTTCCTCATCTCCCTCTCTGTACTCCACTTCAGCAATGTAGTAGTTCTGCTCTGTGCCAAAGATTTTGCCCCAGAATCTCACATGCTGCAGAGGGTAGTTGTCTACAAGACTTTTCAGAGCCAGCCACACACGAATCATTTCTTCTCGGTTCAGACCAATACCGGCTTGTTCAAAGAAGAAGCACAACTCCATAATATTTGGTAGTGGAGTTTCAACCTCTTCATCTTGTGCAATGTCATCTTCTCCTTCCTCACCACCTTTCTGAAAGTAGAAGGAAAATTAACAGGTACTCTTAACTGAAATAGATTAAAGATAATATTTTTACCAATACTGGTACTTTCATAGGCTTACTATTACAAATTTGAAATAGCGTATATTATTCAGTAAATCCTTTGAGTTGTAACTTTTAAACATATATTGCCATCAAGAACCAATCATGTGTGGACCAGATCGCTACCCCGCGAATCATTGTTGAGAACTCGCTTGAAAGGAATTCACCACTAGTGGTCAACTTCATTGATTATGAAAAGGCATTTGACAGCGTGGACAGGGAAACTCTGAGGAAACTCATGCGGCATCATGGAATACCTGACAAAATCGTCAAGCTTGTGAAGACCACCTACGATGGAACAAACTGCCAAGTCTTCCATGAAGGACAACTCTCAGAACCATTCCAGGTACAGACAGGAGTGCGACAAGGATGCCTGCTCTCACCTTTTCTCTTCATACTTGCAATTGACTGGATCATGAAGGAAGCCACCAGAGGCAAGCGAAATGGAATACAATGGATCCCTTGGCAGCAGGTGGACGACTTGGACTTCGCTGATGACCTTGCACTGCTCTCTCACACACATGCTCAAATGCAAGAAAAGACCAAGGAACTCAACAGCCTATCAAGGAGTGTTGGCCTACGTATACACCCGGGCAAGTTGAAAGTAGTGAAGCTAGGTAAAGTGCCAAGCCCTGCTGTGACAGTGGAGGATGATCCCCTAGAAGAAGTGGACTCCTTTACCTACCTTGGAAGCGTCATCGATTGTAAAGGTGGAACTGAGGCAGATGTAAAAGCAAGAACCGCCAAGGCAAGGTCAGCTTTCAAGCAATTATCAAATGTCTGGAAAGCAAGCAACATCTCACTGCAGACCAAGATTCGACTCTTTAATTCTAATGTCAAGTCTGTGCTCCTCTACGGCTGCAAAACTTGGAAGACAACAAAGACAGTGCTGAAAAAAGTCCAGACTTTCATCAACAGGTGTATCCTAAGAATTAAGTGGCAGGATAGAATAAGAAATGAAGAGCTATGGGAAAGGACAGGACAAAAGGATATAGAAGTAAAAATAGGACTAAGAAAGTGGCGTTGGATGGGACACACCTTAAGAAAGCCCAGCGGAAACATCACAAGACAGTCACTACAATGGAACTCACAGGGAGCACGAGGCAGGGGTAGTCCACAAGAAACATGGAGGAGATGTGTGGAAAGGGACATGAGACAGATGAAGCTCACTTGGAACGAGCTAGGAAGGATGGCCCAGGATAGAGAGAAATGGAAGGAGCTTGTATGTGGCCTATACCCTGCTAGAGGTGAAAGGCATTGATGATATAATGCCATAAATGTGAGGTGGTGCTGTGAGATGATTAAAAAAATTATGGCTTTTGTTATGAAAACAAGGCATAGGCTACCAATATTGAACAAATGGGAAAGCCATACATAATCATATACTCTGCAGTTCTGAATTCATTAAAACCCGCTGTCAATAATATGATGCGTCTTGTTTTTAAATGTAACGATTATGCAAATTATTTGAAAAAGAATTGTTGTTACCAGTAACAAATCTATTCATTGCTGAAGTCAGAAAACCACTCTGTTTTGAGGAGTGAACCATTCATAGCTGAACTCTTTATCTTCAGAGGGGGTTTCCCTCACTGTACCAGAGCCTTCTTTGGTATGGAACCACAGAGTTCATATAAACATCACCAAATTGGTAATTAAATCAATGAAATGAACCTGTTTTGACAGTTCTTCATCTTATGAAAAACTCCCAGCTAAGAGAAACCTTATTTAGGCAGTTACTGAAACTTAAAATCGCATCATCGTCATTGTCATAAAGGAATGCGACCAGGCCGCTGCCAGAGATAAGGTGTTATTGTGACAGATGTCGAACATTTTGAGAATTGGTCTATCGAATTAGAAAGACATAAGGAAAAAGATTTGAAAGTAAATATAAAGCCTTTTTTTTCAGTTGACTTTAAACACCTGATCCATTTCAAATTGATGGGTGTGTCTCAGTGGTTATGGTCTCACAGATCCAGAAAGGGGATTCACGTAGGCCTACTTACCGTAAAAAGCTTTCTTTGAACTTGAGCCAATGCAACTTCTGTTGATCTGTCAACTTTGTCTTGCACAGTGTCGACATCTGAAGTGAATTTTGTCCTCTTGGCATCTTTGCTAACGTCTTCAAAAATGTCTACAACATTGTCTGGTCGTTCATCTAAAATTTTCCCCAGTACTCTAGATAGATGGTCGTAACTGCAACAGATTAAAAGAAAATAACAACTATATAACAGTATTTCATTTTATTTGGGTTTTTTTTTTACCTGATACTGATTTTCTAAGAGGATGATAATAACTTTCCAAAAAAAAATGAATGAATTTGAATACACAATCTCCCTAGTCTCACGTTTATTCTCATCATCCTAAAATGAACAAAATTGTTTCTGAACTGAGCGGTGGGGCCAAACCATAATTTTCCAAAACAGTTTAAACGATCAAACTTAGAGAGTAGGAACAATAGTGTTTTGGTCTGCATGTGTGTGTGTGTGTGTGTGTGTGTGTGTGTGTGTGTGTGTGTGTGTGTGTGTGTGTGCATGTGTGTGCGTGTGTGTGTGAGTGTGTGTCGTGTGTGAGTGTGTGTCTGTGTTTTTGTATGCATTTGTGTATGCGTGGGTACTGTTTTGATTGTTTGTGAGCCGAAAGTATAAAAAGTTATCGAGTAGCATTAAAACACACCCCAATGCAATAAATTCGATATTGCCTTCCATTAAATCGGGAGATATGTGCTCTAGTAATTGTTTAGTTTTCTCAGTTTGACAATCCAAATCGTTTTACATTCCCTGAATGTAGTAACATTTTAGAGCTAATCCACAAAAAAGTGGAGTAACGTGACACTACTGTCATCATTTTACATATGAAAAGATATCATTTTGGATAAGAAGATGTGTCTTAGGCGAGATCAGTGAGGCTTTGGACATTATGCGCGTTTGCCTCAACGTTCAGTTAAGGAAAAATTTAAGTCAAAGAGAAAAGTTTCTCCATTATCATTATTATCAACAATGGGATACATTTGGGCATCACTCACTAGCATGCATAAGGCCATGTATGTGCATCCATCGTCACATAGTTTTAGCCTACCAATAGGATGGCAGCCCTAAGTTTTGTCTTTGCCACACTTGATCTATCTGTGCCAAAACCGTGTTCAGGGCCCTAAAAAACCCATAAAGAGCAACAAAATAATAATACCCTTTATGAGACAGGAGGGTTTCTATAAATTTACCAAAATTTCTGATGCAGATACACATAGATCTAGATCTAGATCTATATTTCATATTGCAGAAAATTGATACCAAACTTTTCATAAAGATAAATGTCGGTAACATTCTAAAAAGGAAAAAAAAATAGTACACTTACAGGTTGATTCCTGTGTTTGTGCTGGCTGTGAGAAGGTAAGATTTTGCTTTTTGAAATTCTTTTTCTTTTCCGCTGATATTCTCGGGTGCTGGCGTCGGAACACCACCCGCCTCAGCTTCTGCTTCAGCCATAATTGAGTAAAATCAGCCACTCACTCCCAAACTATCAGTCGTGATATTGTACAATCAACACTGTTCCTATCACACACAGATGGAAAGGGCTGCCACTCGTATAATGGCGTCCCGTATCCTTGGTGCGAGTTGCTAGGCACAACAACTACACATTGTGTGAAACGTCATTTCCGTTTTGTGTAGTCACATTTCGATGACGTTTTTCTCAAGCTCTTGTACACAAAAATATTTCCTGAAAAAGTAGTAAGGAAGTTTTCTAACCATTTGTTCTTGCCCTTGAGCGAAACTCTAATAAAATGCTCGACCGGTTTCTTCCAGTATAGATCTAGTTTAGCAGATAAAATGGACGTAGTCTTCTGACACTCACTTGAATTAGAATTGGTAAGAGTGCTCTCTGACTCTGAGCCTGTTGATTTTTGTTTGTGTGTGAAATGAAAAGTTTTTACTCCCCAGGAAGTCGAGGAAGGTGCGTAATCCTCGGATAGGAGAGGCCTTAATTTTCAATTAGAGGTAGACTCTAACTAGAAACTACTTGTAGACAAGAAGAAGATAGATTCTAGGAGTAGATTTATATATCCAGATCTGTGTCTAACTTTATGAGTTGGTCAATGTATCATAATCAAGGTAGCTGTTGAACTTCTCATGATGAATGAATGTCATCCTCTTTTTCCTTTTCTATTCTTGGATTGTTTTGTTGAACTGTTGCAAACAAGTATTGCAATTTTTCATCATTCATTCACTGCTGTGATCCGCCTTCAGTCACTTTGCTACAAGAAGTTTAAACTTGGGGAGGAATTCCATTACAAGCGACCGCTGTGGAACAGAGGGTTTGGGTTTGGGGGAAGGAGTTCCGCAGCGGGCTGGCCGACCAACAGCACAGAAAAGAGGGAATATTTTGAGCCGGGTATGGCTAACCCTATCCCTGAACCCTTACCCTAAACCCTGTCCCTAACCCTAACCGTAACTCTTAGAAGTATAGTTTGCTCAGTGGACCTAGTCACGGTAAGTGACTGCCCTCTAACATCTATGGAACTCCTCCCAGTTTGGGGTAGCGGTAGGGTCACATGCGGATAACTTGAGAATGACAGATGTACGCCTTTGGCTGATATTTAAAGTAACTGCCATCTTGTTTGACGTCATTGAGGGATTCCCACTTTGTTGTCGTTCACGGTGGCAACACGACCACAAAGCACTTTATATAGCAGTATTTTTAAAGCCTGTAGCCTACAGTGTAGCTTTGTCAAGCGGGCTTTCCTGCGCTGCGATAATTTGGTCCCCGTTTGCAGGTGAATGTTTGGACCCGGTCGTAGCGTACGTGACTAACTTTCACAACCTCGGTCTGCTCTATTTCTGAACCAATGTGAATGAAACTCGGCAACCAATCAGAAACGAAGTGCCGAATAGAGAAAAATTATATTCGGACTCTGATTGAGTCCAGCATGACGTCCCTTCGGACTTCCTACCCTTGTTCTCCTAAATATTTCCAGCATGTATGGACTTTTTTCCGATTATAACAGTCGAGACGTGAGCTATATTATGGAGATCCAGTTACTAGATCTATCTAAACTAGCCCTCCCTGCATCATTAGTTATTATGAACAGAACAACTAAGTTGAGCTGACTTTGCCGGGGGCAAAGTAAATTTATGTCGACCAATGAGATTGCGCGTAGCGATCTCGCACTCTCCGCTTGCAGGGGAAGAGGTGTTGGGAAGAGACCACGGCTGTCGGTTTTGTGCGATGTGATAAAAATAATAATAATACAGAAAAACTATAACACACAACAAAATGAAATTAAACATACGGAAAGACAAATGTGAGGCAGCGTGATGGAATCAGGCTCTCGTCCATTTTTGGGCATGTAGAATTATTGTTATCATCTTAAAGCTTGTTCATAAAATTTGTCTTTATTTGGATGAAAAAAATCCATATATCATATCTTAAATACAAGTCGAGATATTTGCGAAAGGAGGAGGTGGGGGTCACCTGTTTTCAGAGGTAAAATTAGTAAGATTATAGCCGCCAAAAGTTTGTGTTATTAAATTTCTAAAGCTTTTTTTAAGAGTCTGTGGTAACTGAAAATTTACACTTTTTGTGCCTTAAATTAACGTTTTTCAGAAAAATCCACACTGAAAAGAGTTCTTTAATGGGCATGGAAGGTGTTGAGCCAAAAAAGAAAAATTTGATATAAAAATTCACAAACTGGCAGAAAAATGCAAGTTTCTTCACTTTGATTATTTTGACGAGAGCCTGATTCCACCACGCTGCCTCACAAAGGGTGGTGGAAGTAATGATGATGCTATAGTGGTGGTGGAAAGACCCTAAGTTGTTGGTTACTGTGTACTTAGACACTGCCATTGGGTAGATCTAATGAGAGTGCTGTCCTTTGACTTTTGACACAAAATTACAGTCCTAGTGGGCAATTCTAGTTCTAATTCTAGTTTTAAAATCCCCCGACGACATTTATATATATATATAATGTTACCTCCTTACACTCACATTTACTCACTTAGAAGCTCAGTTTGAATAAATAAAAGCTTTTTTTTCGGACTCGAGTACGAATAGATAAAAATTATATTCTGACTCTTTGTCCGAATGGAGCTGGCCAATCAGAAAATGGGGCAAACTAAAATGATATGTGGATGTTGAAGTTCGTACACATAAATTAACCTACACTTTTGTTATCGGAAACACTTTCGTAACTGGTGTACCGAAAACTATAAGGAGCTTGAATTTCAACGCCGATATGGTAATAGATCTATCTATCTTCTAAAGTGTGGTCAAATTTGAACGTTCTGTGTCCAGTGGTTATTTAGACCCGATCGTAAATGCACGACTACCCCCTATCCAAAGCAGCTTGGCACGATGACCGGCCATTTTCCACTCACTCTCGCGGCAAATGTATGTGACCTACAAGTCCCCGCATGACTATTCCGAGCCCATTCATAGGTCACTTGAAATAGGGCAATGGCGCGCGCGCACATCCGGTTGTCGGGGTGTTCGCGTCTCAACGGGGAAAAATAATTTTTAATTGTACGGCATGCTAGATTGAATTAACTATCTTTTATGATTTGCTTGGTCTAAAGTCATCAAAGAAAGTTTTGCCATTATTTAGTCACGCTGCCAGCATATATTCTTAAAGATCCCATGTTGTGATATGATATAAATAAAATGGACTCATCCCGACACCGTTTTTCGCAAAATCGAAATATGTACACCAAAATGTTAATTATAATAAAACAACTATGAAATGGTTAGTAAATCTGACGGCAGAAACGATTTCTCCACCCAAAAACTCATCGGGTAGCCAAGTTTCTCTCTAACACTCCAATTAATTACTGAGATATAATATCTTCGATTTTCTTACAGAATCTGCTACTGCGTGGTCCACTGTTTTGGAGTATTTTCCTATATGTGGGTCATCCATATTTTGCCGACCTTTACAACCCAATAACTTTTTTATTTATGAACTGATTCTTAAAATTCAAGAAGCATAATTCTTATACGGGGTGCCCACTACGGCGGATCGTGCCGATCTCCCGACTCGATCACCTGAAACTGAAAACAAACATGTTTGTTTTTTAAGCGATCGGGTCGGCGCCTGATCGGCCGATCCCATCCATAGTGGGCACCCTGTATTAGAATTGAAATTTCTTTCTTAGGTACCAAATAAAAAAGGGCTAAAGCGAAAAATCTAATTTTCTTTGGCATTGCTATACAATGGGGTGGTGGCGGAGTGGTTAGTGCGCTTGTCTCCGAAACAGAAAGTCCAGGTTCGAGCCTCGGTTTGGCCACGGATTTTTGTTTTCGCCCCCTCCTGCCCACCTACCTGTTATGGGTACCTGACTAGGAGTTGGGGAAGTAAAGGCCGAATTTAAAAAAAAAAAAAATTCTCAAAAAATATATAAGATAACTGAAAAAGCATGTGATGTCGTGACTTTGATGGATTTTTAAAAACATACAAAAGGAGGGGGCGAAAAAAAAAAATCTTTGGCAAAACTGAGGCTCGAACCTGGACTCTCTGCTTTGGAGACAAGCGCACTAATCTCTCTGCCACCACGCCACTACAGGCTTTAAAAATACTACAATAGTGCTTTGCGGTCGTGTTGCCACCGTGAACGACAACAAAGTGGGAATCCCCCAAAGACATCGAACAAGATGGCTGTTACTATAAATATCGGCCAATGGCGTACATCTGTCGTTCTCAAGTTATCCACATGTGGTAGGGTCAGGGTTAGTAAGGTTTGGTCCTCTTTTTTATTATGTTTGTTAGGGCGGTCGCTCATTTGAACTTATTATGAAAGTCCTTCCTCTAAACTCGTTTCAACTTCAGTTGACTTTAGGTCAGATTTCAAAAGAGTGTGTCCTAGACAATGAATATAAAATAATACTAATGAAAATAAACAATAGAAAAGGGAAATAACAAAAAGAAAAAGAAACAGAAGTAGTTGAAAAAATGTCTCCCAACAGCCTAAAAAACCACCAATTAATCATCAGCACTGATCTGGATGACTCAAAGCGTTCATTGGCATCAAACAATACAATCACAAAAGAATGTGCTATTTTTGTCCCTAATGTCATTTGTTTACTTCCTACACGTGTTACACGTTGTGTTGCAGTCTTTCAATCAAATGAACATAACTATAGATATAATAACAAATAAACGCGTGTAATTGGGTTGAATTTGTAATGGATTTTGACGTTGGTGTGCTTTGGATGTAAAAGACTTACCATATATTGAAAAAACTTGTAAAACAAGACAAAACATCCACCTAATCGAAAAGGACGCTAAAGAATGAAAGATTGGCTTGAGAAGATTTTAGCCTATGCGGAAAGTCCTTGGGATTTTTCATACATCTCCGAGAAACGCCAAGTTCGACTGTAAGATGTCAGAGACTCACAGGGAGGGGTGCATTACAAAGGACTCTCAAATCTACTAATAATTTCTTCAATTTTTGCAAATTACGGCAGAAACTGAGAAATGAGTATCGCATAGTCTGAGCATAAAAATTTGCATTCATTTCGATTTTGAAAGTAAATTTGGCACTTCACGTCAGGTCAAAATGTCGGACTTACTCGCGAGATATTTTCCACCATTCTGCTCTGTCCGTTGCCGTTTGAAACCGATGCTAGATTTCTTTTTTTATTCTTATCATATTAGAAACACATATGTCTAATTTCTTGTGTGTTCTAGCCATTTTTTGAAAAAATCTAGCATTATAATATACCATTTAAAACAAAAATTGTCAGACTCGTGAACATCGGGAAACGCAGTAAGTCTAAATCCTTACGTTGGTGACACTATTACGAAAAATATCAAACAAAATAAACAAAGTCAGCACTTGTTTTTTGTTCTCGTGTTTATTGGGCTCATAAACAAACAAAGCAACAGAAATTGAATACCAAACAGTACAACAGGAGAATTTTATTTTAAAAATAAACCTCATGTTATTATGATGGCAGCTGACTTTTTCCTCAATGCAGACACTCATCACTCATAATTTTCTTTTTTTCTCCAACTCTTGGGGGGGGGGGGGGAGGGGGGGGGCTCCATTTTTAATAATACCGGATAGCTGCGTTAGCATTTTGGTGAATGAAACAGTTTATGGTTGCTTTGTAGAAAGACTCCGGACAAATAGATCAATATAACAATTTACACACAAGTAAACTTCTACTTGAAACATTGACTATGACACCAAGAGGCTATGGCTGTGTGTGGGGGGGGGGGGGAGTGATGTACGGCCTAGAAGTACAAAATGGCTGCAATAGGAGAGGGAATGTGGATTGCTGAGCTCAGTGCTTATAAATTGCATTGTAAATCTAGAGATTTTGATTCAAATCTAATAATTTTGTTCTATTTAGATTTTAGCCAATTCAAACTTGAGAAGCGACCAAAAGTAACACTCGTGGCCCAACCAGCTTCTGATGTCATTGGCATGACAGACATAGACTTTGTTTGCAGCTAATGAATCAGTACAGAGTGCTCGCAACAACACTAGTGCAGCGGCTATTCCCGTGGTCACGCTGTCTCGCTGTGTTCTACACAATTTAAATCTAATGTACAACACAACTTTATTCCTTCAGTATTGGTTTCAAGTGTGACTGCCACAGACATTGAAAATTTTAATTTAAAAATGTATGCATTGCATATTACAAGGAAATGAGTTGGTCAAGCTGCTTGAGATATCTGCCGTCGTAAGGGAAAACGACGAATGGTCAAATTTTTTCGATTTTTTAATTTTTATATATTTCATAGAGTATTTAATTCTGCATATGATGGTGTAAAAATTTTTGTCATATCCTAATCCGTTGTTGCGCATTTGAGAGTTCGTCGTTTTCCCTTACAGTGGCGAGCTCCGAGCCAGAGCTCAGTGTAAGGGAGAACGACGAATGGTCGATCGGTCAAGGATCACTGCTCGTTCAGCGTTGTCCCCTGGTCTCTGCCGTTGGGCAAATTCGGCATGGGTGACGAATGACAATTGGTCACTGTTGCGTCAGTACAAACATACTTGGTTTTTAGCAAACAAATACACCACCACCCCCTCCCCCGGAGTACCGTCGACCAGGTTTATAAGAATGTATCACTTAGTGTGTCTTCACGTATTAGGCGTATGCTGATGATGTGAATTGACAAGAGCAAGCGGAAGAGAGAGGGGAAAACGGATGGGAACAGGGGGGAAAGGGGAGGGGATGGGAGGGTCAAAAAAGTATTTAGGGAGAAATTTATTAGCACTGCATATTAGTGTCCACCAGATGTTCACAGACTAACATCATTTTAGTTTGCTGTCCAGTCATTTGACATCCCAAATCCCAACGATGGTTATAGTGCCGCAATTTGTCTAGCACGTGTACTGGTCGACATCATTATAGAATTACCAAGCAATTAATGACACTGCTTTATGAGAGTAAATGTGTGTGTCCAACTTAAAACGTGGACGTATTGTGGCGACACTTAGTCTTGCTTTACGATTTTTTATGACTTGATGGACGTTACGATCGAGTATAATAATGTCTTGCAGATTCAAACTGTCCTTGTCGATCTCTACTTGGTGGTATGTTTTCCGATCCAATCAACCGAATCCTTTATTAAATACAAAGCGTCGTATCACCTCTCCCGAAAGTGTTTGTGATAGTCTTGTCAGATTGTTACATTTCTTACGTGAAAGTTTGATTTTGCAATGATCTGATCGTATTATTGACATTGTAACATTGTTGATCCCTTTGATCGTGCAGGGAAAATTTTGCAATTAGCGAAAATAAAAGAAAAACTCGCTTCTGAAGAGAATACAATAGAGAGGTATCCTGGAGACCAAACTTTGGTTCTGAAAGAGACAGTTTTAAATCAAGCTGTTGAAAATGTGTGCACCTCTGATTTGTACACTGACTGTGTAGTATTTAACCAAGCGAGGAAGGGAAACGAAGGACGTTTTCCGACCGAGTTCCAGATGGGACATAAAAAACACCTAACTTTAAACGTATAATAGCTAGTTTGTATACGTCTTAGTTTTATTTGTAATTACCAGTACACAGTCATTACTGTCAATATTGTGTCACCACTGACCATCGCCTACGCCCATAAACGTTCACGAGTGTGGAGGAGAACGAGGAACTGTACCATTCGTCGTTTTCGCTTACATCGCAAGGCTTACCTGTGGGTGCGCAATGTAAGGGAGAACGACGAATGTCGAATAACTTTGCTACTTTTTAACCTAAACTATTCAAACTTTAGAAACTGCTTTATGAACACCTCAATCAGATATCTGGTGAATTACAGCTTAAAAGAGTGAAAAATACAAGAGTTATAAAGTAAAAACAGTTTTTGCCTCTCCTGAAAAATTTGCCTCGCTACCTGCGCAGGACCATTCGTCGTTTTCCCTTACGACGGCAGATATGATATAAAACATACCTCCCCCCTTCCTCTTTGCCCCCTCTGGGCGCCTGACTCTTTCTGATACTTTTCTATTGCTACTCTTAGCTCCCTTCTTACTGAGCACTGTCTTTCAGCCGCACCCCTGGACTTAGGGTTGGTAAGGTCTAATAACTAGCTTTCTAAGATAAGAGAAAAAGTCTTGGAGGTTCCGTGTGCAAGTTGCGCACGTTAAAGATCCCCTGGTGGTTCTAAGGTTAATAAGAGTAGGCTTCGGCCATCACCCAGGTAAAATTCATAATGAATTGCTACCAAGCTGAAAATGCGTCCTTCGCGCTGACATGATCTTATGCAGTTGCGAGCACAGTAAAACACAACAAAAAAACGTTAATATGTTGCTTTGAATGCATGTACACAGATATATACATCTTTATTGGAATGACGCAAAATATTGGGGTCCAAACTAGAGGTTGTCACAATTGGTATGAAGTATGAATGAGCCATTTAATATATCTTAGTGCTTTGTTGGTAAATCTTGCTTTTATTTTTGGAACTAGTTGTTATGCATTTTTTTAAAAAAACAAAACCAAAAAACTGCTGTTCTATTTTTTTAAAATTATTTATTTTATCTCCTTAAATTTTGTCTCTGTAACTTTAAGCTTGTTTGTTTTCAAAATCATTATAATTATTATCATGTCAGAGAATTTAAGTCCACAAGCTTCTATATATATATTAATAATGTTACAAATACTTTGTTTTTGAAATTACAAATACTTTGTTTTTGAAATTTTATGTTACATTTTAATGAATTTTATATTATTAGTTTCCAGTGATACTTTTCCAAGGACCATGGATAAAAGACGTCTTTTAAAAAAGAAAGAGTCTGGCTTGAACGAAGGGATAGCAGGTCGATATGTGAAAAGAGACACACCTCCACTCTTGAGAAGTAAGTATTAAAAATTTTTTTTTAACCAAAACAAAAAGGAATAAACTACTTTATTTGATGCTTTAACCCCACACGGCTGTTCAACTCGCCCGGAAACCGCTCCTTTAGTTGCTCCGTGCCAGCGGTCAGTGCCACCCATGTGTTGGTCAGTAAATCAGCGGCCAGCCGTGCTCATGACCGTGACGCCAGCGGCGCGCCCCCGCCTGCCGGCGTAATGCATTTCCTCCAAATTATGGTGTCATTCTCACCCTGATATTTCCAAATCTAAAAATGTGATATCACCATATGACCTACCATTTTAAAGCTCCGCTTTCCCCCTTCAAGACGATATAACTTTGGTCGATTTCAGTTCACAACCTTAATTTTATCTAACTACGTTCTCCAAGACGTGTTTCTATTGAATCGAAATTCCTTTTTTCAGTGTTATTTGAATTTAAACGCCAATAACTTTGTTAAATCACCATCAGTCAGTTTCAATTTTTTTTTCAAAATCTAGTTGGGATAGGTATACTGTACACATTGTGGAAGTTTCAACTTTGTGTCGTTTTTCTGTGATTTTTTATTAATAAAAAAAATACATAGACGTTCCCCTAGACGTGTTTCTATCGAGTCGGATTCTTTTTTCAGTGTTATTTGAATTTTAACTCCAATAACTTGGTAGATTCACCATCAGTTTCCAATCTTTTTCACAAATCTAGTAAGTATAGGTATACTGTACAAATTGTGCAAGTTTCAAATTTGGGTCGTTTATCTGTGATTTTTATTAATTTTATTAAAATGTTACATAGATCTAGACGTTCCCCAAGACATGCTTCTATCCAGTCGCATTCCTTTTTCAGTGTTATTTGAATTTAAACGCCAATAACTTAGTAAATTCATAATTAGTTTCAAATCTATTTACAAATCAAGTAGGGAGAGGTAAAATGTACAAATGTAAGTTTTAACTTTGTTTCGTTTTTCTGTGATTTTTTTCTTTTTAAAAATGATATAGATGTCTTTTGTTCAGTGTTCACAAGACTTTTGTATGTGTGTTTTGTTTCAAATCTAGATCTAGCATCTCTTAAAATGTAATAATGATTATGTAGTGTGTTTACCAATATTGTGACAGTAGGCTTAAATGCAGTAATAAGTGCTGACACCCTGACTGGTGATACCCGCGATCCTAGAGGGATACGTTTTTATATAGAGTTGTCACTTGTGACAGCTGGACTTGGGGAACTGAGAACTTACTGCAAAAACCTGTGAATCTCCACTCACGACTTAATATCTTTGCTTTAGGCAACGATACACAGATGCAACCAAGTGAGTTTGAAACTTTACTCTATTTCTGACCCAATATCTTAGAATTGTCAAAATCGACAGCAGCTATCATGTTCAAATTTAATGAAATAAATTATGACCCTCTATCAATGTTTAAACATGTATCCACTTTTCTTTCTAGGTCATCTCGTATTCCTTTGTCTTACTTTGTTGCATGATTGCTCTAAGAAATATGTCAGATGATGCTTATTCAAAGTATACGGTTTTATGCACAGTTGGTGTTGTAGTTTGGGCTTAGTCACAGATTAAACAAAGCTGAAAACTGCTTCAATAACATTTTCATCGCGAATCTGTCAGTAAAGTAAAATTCCCCGGGCTGACCTCTTGACCCGTTGGTAATGTCTGGTTCGAGTTACGCTGAGCATCGGGGCCCTGCGGGGTGCCGGTAGAACTAAAGTACTGCTTGTGAACAGCCGTGCCCAAGCTGTTTCCCCACGAGGCTACCCAGTCACGAAATGAGGGCTATGTGAATGAATCTTTGGAACTTTGATGAGCTACCTTGGCAACAGGCATGTCTTTCTCTTGATTGCTGTTCATGATCGGTGACCAATGGCAATCTTAAAACAGGATCCTTCATTTTGTCCATCTCCCGTTCAATCCTACTGTCCCCACCTACTGACTGGTATGTCATGTCTTTCTTATTTTCCCTCATCCCATTCCACTGTCACTCAAAAGGAGCCCCCCCCCCCCCCCCCCCCCCCCCCCCCCAGGTCATCAGTGTCCAAGTGTATCCTCCACATACCACCAAATTAGGTCGAAGACTTTTTTGTCTCTGATTGTGTTATTTTCAATGGTAATTACTGATGGTATTACAATAATCAGTTTTAAAAAAAAGAACATTTTAAACACCATTTTGTTGCAATTCTCATTCTGGGAGACAATAAGAAAGAAATTACTTTTTTTCCCCCCCAAAAGAGTGTATGACCTAATTTGGCGGACACACAGTGAGAGTCAGACACTGATGAGTTGTGTTTCATTATCATCGTCACGTGTGGTAGCAATAAGAGAGTAGCATTATTTCTTGGCCGAGGCAAGTTTCAGAAACTTATGGATTGCATCGTCGGGATATGCAGTTGAAACTTTCTAACAAGGCCGCCCATAGACGAAGAGAAGAGTGGCAGTATATATGACTGATGGCTGTCCAAGGCAGAACTATCAAAATGAAGAAAACAAACCATTCCCTTCTTAGGTCCCAACCGGAGGTGGTCGCAGTCTTAGGACTGCCAGGCTAATTAAAATGGGTTTTGTTTTCTTTTGAAAAAAAAGGTTTGTTTTTTTAAATAGATTTTTTCTGTTGTTGTTGCTAATTTTGTGTGTAAGGGTGTAAAGGAAAATGAAATCATGAAATGTGTCAGACAAGGGAACTAAAAATAGAAAATAGAGGGCTTCTGATCTCTGCAGGAATCTTAGGCTAGTCTGAGTGACTTCCAAATGATAAATGTCATCCTTTTTTATACAGTGACAAAAATATGAATTTTTAATGCAACATTACATATACAGAATATTTCTGTCTTTCTTTTTTTTTAGATTACCACACTCCAGTTAGACAAGGAACGTCTTTTCAGAGGATTGGTGGTCGAAATGCTAAAATGCCAGCATCATACATTCCTCATACGCAGTCCACACCTCATTTGCCTAGTCCTTTGGCATCGCAGGCGCTGCAAGTCCCCAGGCCCTCGGTCCAGTCCTCATCAGTGCTTGACAACACTCCACAAGCCTTCGGAGACATTGACAAATACTATGTAGGCAGTCAACCTCAACCTCATCAACAACTACAACAACAACAGCAACAACACTTAGCCAAGTACTCCGGACTACAGTCACAAAATGTGCCAAGTTCTTCGACAGCATCGCAGATGTATGACCACTCCCAAATGCTACATCTGCAGGCTCAACATCCTACGCAGCAAGGTTTCAGTCATCACCAGTTACAGTATCAGCAACAGCAGCAATTAAATCAAACGCATCATCAGCATTCACAACAGCAACAACAGCAGTCGTCAAATCAACAAAGCCTTCCTGCCTCCCCAAGTCATATAACTCAGGGCTTTCAGAATTTACGGGTCACATCTACCCCCGTTACGCGGACTGATGTGACCTCGGCAATGTCCAGGTCATATGGTGTTGTCTTCTCCCAGCCGGTCAGTGGGATCGCCTCTGGTGTGTCGCGGCCTATGGTGAATTCCTCACATGTGGGCTATATAGGGGATGGTCAACAGCAGCTTCTTGGTCATGCGAATGTCGCGACTAGTCAAGGCCAGGATGAACAGCGTGGTGCCAATCCTGTCAGCATTATTAGAGAAGGTTAGTTGGTCCTATAGCAGTTTCTATCTCACAGTGTTGTATAGGACAGGTCTGAATTAATTTTTAAATTCAAGCTCATGCTTATTCAATTGATAGATTGTTATGTATTATATTTACATTGTTTTCCTTTTTTTTTAAAGACAATGGCATCGTTCTTTTATTTTTATAATGGAAAAAGTGTTTTGTCAATAGATTGGTATAAAGTAGGTCCAATAGTGGCTTTGGTGAGCAGAAAGTGATGCTTGATGAAGAAAAGATTTCATCCTCCTTCATAAATCGGACACAATGCATGTAGAAGTTACAATCCATGCCAGTTTTACATAATTGTGCAGTGCCTATATTCTTCCCATTTCCTACTTCATAATAAATTAGTTCTCCTTGCTTTTGATGACACACAATTAAATAAATTATCAACATATTTTCTTGTCATATGGGACAAATTGAATGAAATTTACCAAGAGGGGTTCAAGGCAAGAGAGGATTATTATAGGAATAAAGGTGATATATGTAACTGGAGTATAATGGATGTTGATGGAAGCTGTATGTGACAAACGTACTGGAAGTAGGGAAAAAATACATTAAATTGTTTTGAGTAAATTGATTTTCACAATTTCAATTGAACGTGTGTACTATGTAGTGCCCAAAATATTTTGCATCCTTTCGAAGTATGAACATGAATTGTGTGATGATTCCTATTCATGTCTTTTCCACCCCCATCCCATGTTATCCAGTATGCTTTGATATGAATTTGATTTATTTTTCCAAGTCCTCTAATGATTTTTTGTTGGAAGTAAAGTAAATTTCAGCCTCTCTGTATTTCTGTATTAAGTCTTGTTTTTACTATTGAAAACTATCTCTCCTCCTTCCTTCCTATCAAATATCTATCATCTTTCACTCTCCAACACCTTGTTAAAATGGGTTCACACATGAAGAGCTTTGAGATTTTCCTTTGTTTTAACGGTCAAGAGAGCTCTGAAATCTCTTTTCATTCCTTTTCAGATGACAATCCAGACTCTCAGCCTTATTACAAGTACACTGGGGCCGGCAGTGGCAGTAGTGCCGGCTCAGGCTCTGCCTCCAATGGCAACAACAGTGACTACTACAACCTGAACCAGCTGGATGAGAACTTTCAGATAGCCCAGTACCACCAAGAAATCCGCAGTCACTATGCCCAACAGAATCCCGGTGGAAACCTTTTGGGAAAAGGCATGCTGGGACTGGCTGCCAGTGACCTTGTAGATCTCAAAACACCCTCAGCTTCTTCCATGAATTCTTCTGGTAAGAGTCCCTGGATTCTTTTCTTCCTTTTCAACTTTTCAAATAATAGCTTGAGTTTATGATTGATTCAGATGTTCTTTTATTACTGAAACAAAAAAATGCTTTTCACAACTTTCCATCTTTGAACTTTACCCGTCGAAGTTACTGCAGTCTGCCCTTTTTACTTGTTTTGGTGGTGTTTGTTTCCGAGACTGAAATATTTGTTTATCTCTCAGACTTGAAAAGAATAACCCTTTAGTGCAGTGATCGCCCTGATTTCCACTTTCATGATAGATAGGCAGTTGGTGGATCCTCTGGTGTGGGCTGCTCCCTGAGTTTCCTTCTAATGTTATTGTAAAGAAGATCTTTGTCTGGTTGATTCGTTGTGAAATAGGCGGGTGCTTACAGGGTGCCACTAGTATAACTTTTTTATCTCCTTTTTTTTGTGATCCTGCTTCACTTCTATATCTTACTTCTGTCCTGTTTCTCTAAGCCAGGGATCTCAAACTTGTGACTGCGACCAGCGAACGATATTTTGAGGCCTGTTCTTGACATAGAAATTATGTGGCAATTTATGACCTCATACAGTTGCAAGCGCCATAAAACCTCTACTAAAACTATACTCGTGTAATACTTGTAATCTTCATCACTTATGTATGACCTTATTGTGTTGCAAGTGCCGTAGAACTCTTACTAAAACAAAACATAAACACTGTTGACCATCTCACTTGTAACCACTTTCCACAGGGGTAGGAAGCTTTATGTCACAAGAGGAGCTGCCCTTACCTCCTGGCTGGTCAGTGGACTGGACTGTTAGAGGTCGCAAGTATTACATTGACCACAACACCCAGGCCACACACTGGAGCCATCCATTAGAAAAGGAGTCTTTGCCGACCGACTGGGAGAGAATTGAGTCAAAGGAGAGGGGTGTCTACTACTATAAGTGAGTGAAATGTTTGATGGGGGGGGGGTAGAAGAGGTTGGGATCAAGGTTTTATACTTACATCTGAGATTCTGATATGGTTTGCTTATATGGCTTTTGTTTCATCATTATTATCTTTCTAATACTTTTTGCCTCATCCTATGCTTGTCTAAGTTTTCATATTTGTATATGTACATTGGCATAAATCTGTGTCTGCATGTATATGAGCAACTGCCAAAACGTGAGACTCTCTTGAGACTCAGTGGTGCAAAATATTTTTTCTTACCAATTTGACTCCCTTTTCTGTCAGTCACAAATTGACATTTAGTGCTCATATTCCTAGAGTATCAGAGCAAGGAGATGCAGGGTTTTGGAGATATGGGTCTATTGGTTTGGCAACCACTGTATTTCTTGTATGTAATAGTGATGACAACAACAGATAAGCAGCAAGGCAAGTTATAGACTTTAAATTCCATTTGTTTAGTAAACAAAGACTTTGCACACTATGAACTCCATTCATAATGGTAATATGAATGACAAGCATTGTAACAATGACGAAGTGCACAGAACATGCCATCATTGTTATGTACTAGAAAGGATACACATTGGACATTATCATTGACGACACATCGCAATAGTGAAAGGCTGTTCAAATACAGTTATCAAAGCCTCAGTACCAGAAAAACACATGTCTAAAACAATTTGTAAACTAATATGAGGCAAAAGCACAAAATCAATGGGGCTGACTTGTACATAACAGTGATGGAAAACATGACTTGTACATAACAATGATGGCACAATGCACAGGAAAAGACAAAGTCATGCCTCCAGAGAGAAATGCGCTCTTTAAGAATAAAAAAAAAAGCAGGAGAGGTTTCTTTTGCTTTGAAACAGATATCGGGTCATATCAAAGACAGTGGACAATCACAATTATGTTGCTAATTATGACAAACAGTGTTCGTACTTAACGGTGATGACAAAACATATTGGGAAAAGGTAAAATCATGCCTACAAAGAACAAATTTGCACTATGAGATACACAGATCATTAAAGGCGTATTTTGCTACGAAATGAATCTTGCATGTTTGAAATATATGTTGAAAACTTACTGATATTAGCAACGATGACAAATATTACTTGTACATAACAATGATTACACAATGTATTGGAAAAAGGCATATCATGCCAACAAAGAACAAATGTGTACTTTTGAGTAAGACAGATAAACAAGGACATGTTTGTTTTATTTGTTTGAGTAAAGAGAGCACACATGAGATAAAAAATGTTTGCTCTTAGGACAATGTAATTTCTAGTACGTCAGTCGGTCTTGTACGGCTGTATGACGACACCCCAAACGTCATCACTAAGCACAAAAGCTAAATCTATAACCACAGAAATGACCCATATCTCGAAGTTTTTTTCACACATCACACTCTTGTTCCAGGAATCCAATGTAAACACAGCATTTTCACTAAAATATTCAAAAGGGTAGCCTAAAAACACGCAAAACAGTCCTGTACATCACATTCAACGCAAGATTCTTGTGCGTCACTGGACGCTGACGACAATGACTACTTTCGTTTTTCTCTTTCCGCCGTTGCTCCCGCTGTTCTGGGAAAGCGGGTAAGGGGAAGTCACTCAAGAAAACAATTGTATCGGGGCACTGTTGATGGTCCGTTCAAAACAAAAGTGGGCTAAAAATAAATTCGGACTTCTGGTACGTCGCAAAGTGACGACGATCGCGACGAATGTTAAACAGCTGATTGAAATCGTAGATCTAGGAACCTGATGTTCCTTTCGCGCATCACGGCTTTTGAAGTATTGAATAAACGACGAAAAGCAAAACGATTTAACCAGCTGTGGTTATTCTACTGAAAAATAATGGTGTTTTCTGAAACACCTAGTCCATGACGACATGACGGACGCACAAGTGATCCAAATTATTTGTTTATTTGCAAACAAATAAACCGATTTCTTGAGCAAATGAACCTTTCTCGATGACAAATAGCATAGGATCAAAGCGCAGGTTAAAAAAAAAACATCCAAAAATGCTAAATTTTGGACATTCTTGGAAGTTTGCATTGGTGGGCTCTAAATGACAGTTCAGAAATCACCAAAAAAATGAACATTTTTGGTACAAAATTTACAAACTCAAGATTTTAAAGCTGACACAGGGTCTGAAACTGCTAATGCAGGTTCTACTTCCTATATTTGACATGTGTAAAAGTTTTGGAGGAATAAATACTAATGCATCACATTTTATGCACACTAATGTGAGATGTATGTGTTTTTTCCCACGTTTTGGCAATGGCTCATATATTTCAGGAGATTAGAATATATGTCTATTTTTATTTGTATGTGTGTGGACTTTAACTCAATCTATAGAACTGCCTAATATAATTTGGTTGTGTGTTCTCTTTCTCCCAGTCACATTACGAGAACAGCTCAGTATCACCACCCGTGTAACTCTGTGTTACCCCAGCCAAGCATGTTGCTAAGCTATGGTGCTGCTGCTATACCCGACCGGATACCGCCCAATTTTGAGTTCAGACAGAACAAGCAACTTGTGCCAGCAAATCCTTACTTAAACACAGGTATACGGAGGCTCATATTCCTATGTCATTTGATCTTCAGTTGTGCTTAGGCTTGAAGAGACTTTTTCCTTCACATTAATGTTTTGGGATTCATTATTAAATCTTTGTTGTAGTCCTTTCTCTTTCACTTTGGGTTTTTAAAGAAATATATTTTTTAAAATATGGAAGAAATATATAAAAATCTATGTTGCCATGATCATCAAAATGCACGAATGTGTGATATGGCTGGACACACCTTTTTGTTCTAAAATTCTGATGTGGATTAATTTTTATTGTATTTTTGTGCTTTTTAGCATTGTCCAATTTTTTTAAAAACTTTGAATTCATGTAATACTGTAAATGATTTTAGAAACGCATCCATCGGCTGTCTGTCGCGAGTGGTTGGTTGGCACTCTGGTGTGCTTTGCTCGTTCTTTCCTGTCATACATCTATTGTCATTATCTCTCGTCCTCCTTTTTTTGGGGGGGGGGAGAGGGGATGTTACTCTCTAGTAACACCACTAATCTACGGCACTTACATGTCAAGTGTGTTGCAAATGCCATAAACCTCTCACTAGAACTTAACATTCTGTTGTTGGGAGGGTATGTGAATGAATACTTTTGATTCCCCTAAGCCTGACAAGTGTCTTCCATCCTAGAAACATGACTAAAACATGCTGCTTGTTTCAGAGATAGCCCAGCAACTTCAAAAAATTAGGTACTACAGGGAAATAAACTGAAAAAGAGGTGAAGGAAAACAGGGTGAGATGTTAGGTTTGAATACACCAATAACTGATGTTAGAGGCATCGTGGTGAAATGAGGCGCTTGTCAAAATAATGAAATCGAAGAAATCTTCTTGTTTTGGCAGACGTGTAATTTTTTCAAATTTTATATTTTTTTAAAATTATCTTTGGCTCAACACCTGTTAGGTCCATTCAAAAACATATTTTAGTGTGGATTTTACTAAAATGCATTGATTAAAGGCACAGAAAATGTAAATTTTCAGTTTCCGAGGACTCTCGGGCTATTGAAGTTGCCGAGGACTCTCGGGCTATTGAAGTTGCCAAACTTTTGCGCCCATTTTCTTGCTAATTTTACCTCTGAACCAGGCGACCTTGACCTCCTTCAATTGCAAATATCTCGACTTCTATTCAAGAAAGATGGGTATTTTTTTCACCAAAAGGAAGGCAAAGGGTTTACGGTGACACCAATAACCCCATATGCCCTCTACGTGGTGACACATATATGAAAGTTTTCAGTCATACAAAGCACACAACAGAAACAAATAAAGAACAGATTTCCATTAGCTCAAAGATGATGGTCCATTGTGACAGTGATGATGATTATGTCACGCCAGAGTTGTTTCTTTTGATTTTTTAGACACTAGGAGGTACCATTAACATGTTTTAAATAATTCTACAGAAGCACAAAGATAGAAATTGTATTGCAGATATTGTAGGCTGTGATCTCTTTGGTAATTTTCATCTTTTGTCCCTCAACAGAAATTCCTGAATGGCTCATTGTATTTTCAAAAGCACCCCAAGAACATGATCATAAGTTGAAGGTGAGTGTGGACTTCAGAAGATAGAAAGTGACTGTAAAGTTTGTAAACAGATTTTAGTATTGGTTGTGTGACTAAGGTTTATACAGATATTAGTATTTGTTGTCTATTTGAGGTGTGTCACATTTTTGAAAAGCACTCTGATACTTAATTGTCTTCCTAAAGATTTTCTGAGTATATTGTCTTCTGTGAAGGTCAGCTGAGTGCCGACTGTTCATGTTCAAAATAGATTGTGAGATGGGACATCTTATAGTTATCTTACTCTTATTCTTTGCTAGTCCTTGTGTGATTATGATTTTGGTCAGACCAGACCATCAATGATTTATTTATAGAGGCACCAGCCATCCATGTCCAGGTGCTGTTTTAGAATGATTTTGGTATTCAAACAAACAAGAACTGTTTTCATGTATATTCCTCTTTATTTTATGTTCATATTTGAGTGAGTGTTGAGTTAATGGCCTGTAAGTATAGATCAAATATTTTATGAGGCATATGCAATGCAAGTTTTATACAGAGAATCTCGATCATGCATATAGAAAGGGACTTTGTTTTCTCCTTTTTTAGAAAAGGAAATAAAAATTTGTTGGGTTTTTTTTTTCCTTCTGCAGTGGGAGTTGTTCACCCTAAAGCAACTGGAAAATTTTGCTGCTCTCTTGATTCGTTTGTACAAACAAGACCTGGAGCACATTGTGATGAGCTATGAGCGTTACCGCATAGCGCTGAACAGAGAGCTGGACAGACGGAAACTGGAGAGACAGTCGCAACCACAGACCCTGGCCATCACCAACATACCCTACCAACCCTCTCTAGTTCAGCAGCACCAGCTGCAGCTGCAACTGCACCAACAGCCAGTGGCGCAGCAACAGCAGCTGCAGCATGGTTCAGTGCAAGTGCCATATCAGCAGCAGCAGCAATCCAGTCAACAACAGCAACAGCAGTCGTCCCAGCAGCAGCAGCAGCAGCAGCAGCAGCTTCAGCCAAGTCAACAACAGTCCCAGCAACACATTCTTTTGACTCAAAATATAGAGACTAAAGTGTAGTTGTTTTGTGTTTGAGAGAGAGAGAGACAGAGAGAGAGAGAACTCTTGTCACAGTATACAGATACTTAAAACAGGATTGTTTTGTGACAGAGAAAAGGGAGAGAGTGGGTTTTTTGTTTTTTTTTATTGCTTTTATTTTCATTCAAATACAGAGCCTTGTATGAGAATGTTTTCATCCAGCTCAAAAAGTAGAACTTCAAGTAGTACAGCCTCGAGAGAGAAATGTAGAGAATACAGAATGTCTTAGTAAAAAAGCACCCATAACTCGGTCTTCTTTGCCGCAATTTCAACAAAACTTTGAAGAAATAAAATTCTACCAAAGCATCGTCAAATTTGCCAATATGAGAAAATTGACTAATGTGTTCCAAAAATATTAAGCATTTAAAATTTCGTCCAAAATTTTTCAGCTTCGTAAAGATCAACAGTAATGTGTATTTTGTGCATCACAGAACAAATCTATTTACAACCGACATTGCCAAACAAATCCGGGGAAGGCGATGGCTATTTAAAGTATACGTACCAAGTGTTGCCCATTTCTCTCCACACAAGCTCAGATTCACTGAAAATTTAGAACGATTCTATGACAAGTTTCTGGATCGTTCTTTGACCCTGCTATTTTAACTTTGAGTTTCTGCGTTTGTTTGTTTGTTGTTCTTATAGACTGTCTTTCAAAAACCCTCAAAAGGAAGCGATGCACTTTGAATAGGTCCTCTCTTTTTGATACCCTGTGTGTGGCCATGACAGTTTAGAATAATATTTGTTATTTAATGCCAATTAGGCTATGGTTGATTTTTTTCAAGAAGCTGTAAAGTTCTTATCGTACTCAACTTTGCTTGAAATTTTAAAAACCTAATATTTTTCAAACTTATTGATGTTCTTCATATTGATAGATTTGACCTCTAAGTTGATTATTATTAATGGAAGTTTTGTTGAAATTAATGGAAAGAATACTGAGCTCTTTATATGGGTCCTTTTTTTTTACGCCCTCTTTAAGAAAAGTGCTGGGGGGTTTTTGGGTAGTGTATTGTTTTGTAGTCTGTTGTTTTAAAATGGTGCAGTACTTATGTATGTAATATCTTAGTCTTTTATGTGGATGACATTTTAAGGAACATTATTTACTATCACTTTCTGTCCAGTTCTTTTTCCCTATGAAATATTTAACACTTTGCAATCACACAACCAGCAGTACAAATTACCCCATGTGGTCTCCCAGCCAGGAGAGTGACTGCAACGGATTTCTCAGGCCTGGCGCCAGGTGACCGGAACAGATTATTTTCACCGGCGCACATTATTGCGCCAAGTGACTGCAAAGTGTTAAAAAGCATATGTCTTTTCCTTCGCCTGTCTTGCTACCTCAAATTTGATATAACTTAATGTTGAAGACACTTGTTGCTGCTAGACAACACAACATTTGCGCTTAAATGTGGCCAGCATTTCTTTATCATTTTTTAGTTTCCTCGAAAGACATATAGTTGGGCACAGATGAGTCAAACATGTCTGGGATTGACAAAGGTGCTTGACACTTCCATAATTCGGGAAAAGCATATAGCGAAAAATTTAAAAAATATCAGTCCGGCAAATTGTCCAACTTATCCGTAATTTCAAGTTTTTCGTGTTCTTATCTGTGCCAGACTGTATTGTTTTGAATAATTTGACTCTGTAATTGACAATGAACTGCTCGAATTTGTTCTTGTTTTTCTCTGCATATGAAATCTTCTTGATCCTGGTGCTGTTTGGCTTGCTTATTTCCCGCTATTCCCTGCACCAACATTTGCACTTCCCAATTTTAAATGTTAATGCTGATATGCAAGACGGTTCATGATAAAGAGATCAAAGTCCCATTGAAGGATGGAGAGGAATTGTCATTGGTGCTTTATGTTTTATTCCGGTTCTGTTGTTTGTGGCAAAAATAGCAGTGTAATTTTAAGAAAGACATTTTGTATGTGATGCGAATTCATTGTAATTCTTCTTTTATGATTTATGGAAGAAATGAGCAGTAATGGTATTTTTATGACTGCTTTTAAAGGGGAAGACTCGTAACCGATGAAATTTGCTGGTCTAGCTGTTTTGCAGATCAGCAACAGTCTCGACTGTAAATACAAATAAAGCGATATATCCTCAAAGTGTTTTATGTGTGATTCAGATTCGCTTGCTTTCTAGTTTTGGAAATGGAGTGTTCATTGTCTGTTTTTTTTAGAGAAAGAGAATGCCTGTGTCTGGAACACAGGACTGCTGCTGATATTGAAAGTACACATTTATGTCTCGCAGACCCTGTGTGGTCATTGATTGTTGACATGTTTTGTCTCCTCTGTGTATTTATTGTATTTGTAGTGATAAACATTTCCTCCAATCAAACCTGAAGAACTTTATCTTGTTGTGCCTTCTGTAGCTCTGTTCTCGTCAATATTTTGTTGTTAATTTCTATATATTGCATACAATGCCCTGTATTTACCAGCATCTCTCTTTCAAGAGGACTAAAGCTGTGTCTTGGAATAGCTACTGTTCCTTGTTGTTGATTCTTGACTGTGTGTCTTGTGCAGGTCACATATTATCTTTGTCTCATTCTCAGTTGTTGATAGAAAATGTCGTCCAGTATTTGCAGAATTTTCAGTTAGGTCAAGCTCTCTTGTGCTGATCTAACTGTTTGCACCTGGCAGTCTCTTGATAATTTTTAGAATTTTTTTTTTTTGGAACAAATTGTTCTCTAATTACTGTCAGCACATATTCCTGGTGAAGTCACATTTGTTTATGCATTGCAGGTTTTTTAAGCCAGTGTTGTGTTCTTTTCTTTGACTCCATGGGAAGTTCTGAAGAGATCATTGCAAGTTTGTTTTCCTGTTGTTTTAGTCTTTTTAGCAAATGGTTGTTTATAGTTTGGAGTGTAAATTCCTTTTTGATTTTAATGCTTTTGTTATAGGGATGGGTGTTTTTACTATTATAATGTACCTCATCACTAGTGCAGAGATATTGTCAACGTAAGCTCAAAGAGTTACGAGATTATCATAGGCATTTTTACTCCTGTTCGCTTTAAATCCTGTTCATGGAAAAGCGTCACTTTATTTTTGAAGGTTGTTTTAGTTCTGTTTTTATTGAAATGTTGTTCCTGGCTTTGGATGTTTTTGTTTTTGTACCTTCTTTTTTTTCCTTTTTTTTGTGATATCCTGCCCCAGGACGGTTTGGAACAGAAGAATATTGCAATTGTGATGTGATTTTTATTTTTTATGAATCATTCCACATTGATCATTACCTTTTTATTGCTTGTGCGTAGGTTAAATTTAAAATATTGTTTCTGGGTTATTGGCGGGTGCTCTGGTGTTGTTTGCTCTTTCTTTCCTATCAAACGACTATCGTCCTTTTCTCTCCTCCTTTCTTTGTGTATGTTACTCTCTTGTAACACATCTATTCTTCGGCACTTATTTGACCTTATTGTGTTGCAAGTGCCGTGAAACTTTTACTAAAACTGAAAAGGTATTGTTTAGTTGTTCCCCCTTGTTCCGGAGATTGCACTACTAAGATGTGATGTGTTGATTTATGTCGTGACAGTGCACATGCTTCAGGGAGATTGTTGATGTTGAAATTTAGTGCTCTTCTAGATTCATTAAAACAATTTAGTGTCCTTCTTCAAGACACAATGTGGGTCGTGGGTGGTTGGCGGGTGCTCTGGTGTGGTTTGCTTCTTCTTTCCTATGAAACATCTATCGTCCTTATCTCCCCCTTCTTCTTTTTTATGTTTGTTACTCTCTTGTAACACCTCTACTTCTGGCGCTCATATGACCTTATGCAGTTGCGAGCGCCGTAAAACCTCTACTAAAACTAAAACTGAAACAATGTGGGTCATTCCCTATGTGTGTCTCTTGGTTCCTGTGTTGGGACACAGGGTGGAAAGGAAATGTCTCAGAAAAGATGAGAGGAACAATTCACATGTCTCGAGAATTTCATCTTCAGACTTAAGAAGCCTCTTTGCTACAGCGTCTGAGGTAGACTGTTGATGGAAGTTATTATTTATTTTTGGGTTTTTTTTGTTGAAGATACAGTTATATAACATATTTGTGTATTATGATATATTTTTTTTAATAGTCGTGACAGATGGATCCAGTCAATTCCCTTTTTAGAAAAGAAACGTTTGAAACGAATAAACTCTAAATAAACTCTAAATAAACTTTAAATGTGGTTCTCCTAATGCTTCCTCAGAACCACACATAATGAAAAAAGTAAATGGATGATTTCTAGAACACTAAACAAATGGTGAACCTCAAAAGAAGTATTTGATATAAATAATTTTTTTTTAATGTACAAAAATACCTTTCCTTCTTCTGACTAGTCAATTGAAAGTATTAATGCAGTCTGATAAAAGAAACTTCAAAGAAAGACGAAGAGCTGAAGCAAAAAAAGGAAGACTTTAAAATCAGTACACTACCAAATAAACAACTAGGAATGAACAGGCTGAAAAATTGAAAGGATTTTCAAAGTTGTTGAGGAAAGTGAAATAAATAAGATCTAGTCCATAGTGGGTGGGGGAGACTGCTTTTGTATAAGAGAATGAATGTCTGATGCGGTATGTGGTATCTTTTCATCATCTCTTTTCATCTGCAGCTTCAATTTATGTGTACAATTTAGTCAGTCATGCTTAGGTGAAAAAGGGAAGTCTTGAAAGAATTATGTATAGTTTATTTTTCCTTGTTTATGATTGCGATTTGGATATGGATACAAAAGGGGTTTATTTTTTGTTTATGTTTTTTTTTGGGGGGGGGTGTTGTTTATTGTTGTTCTGTTAGGGTTTTTTGTTGGGTTTTTTTTTTTTTTTTTTTTGGGGGGGGGGGGGGGGGGGCTGGTTGTGGGTTGTTTTTTTTCATTTGTCTGTCCTTAATTTTCCTATGCTCATGGAACAGTTCAGAGAACGAAAAGCAACTCGAAACCTTTGAGTTCTCCTCAATTTATTACAAGGAAATGTACTTGTATTTTGGAGATTTTTACAAATGCAACTTCTTAAAAATGACATTAACTAATATAATCATTGTACTGTATCCTAATTTCTGAATGTTGTAATTCACTGCCTAGTAGATACGGTGTAGATAATTTAAGGGCATAAAGCACTTATTCACCTGTAGAGATACTTAGCTGAGAGGAAATATATCCAGGAAAGAAGAGAACAAAATTGGATTTGATTCAGATTCAATCCTGGAAGTTTAATTTTCCCAATCAAGTTCATATTCAACAACACCACAACTCTTCTAAAGTTTTATTACAGCACACATGACATTTGACCTTTTTAACTTTAAAGTTGTAATCGTCCTGGACACAATTTAACTTGGAAGCTTACCTTCAAAATTTTATGAGTCTGTGATCGACTTTTGTCGTTTTTCACTGACATCGTTCTTGTTGGTTGTGAAATGATAGGTTGTGTTTCTACTTTACCACCATTGTGAATCAATTTCACTTTTCACTCACTTGAGCCTTTTTCTGTATATTTACGGGATGCACCGCCAGCCCAATGGCCTTATCCCGTGTATCTACGGGATGCACTTTATTGGTCAATATCTCCGGTGTATTTTGGTATCAAGTTACGGGAAACGGTGAACCAACAGTTTACCCACTTGTTTTGTTTTGTAAAAAATTTGGTGAAGTTATGTGGGGTACTTTTTGAGTTGTAACAGACTAAGTCAGTCACCCCTGCATTGCAAAACTGGGCGCAAAATATACTTGTTCAACCCCTAGACATTGGCATTTCAAAGTATTGATAAAATAAAAACTGTTGGGACATATCGAATGCAGTTTTCATTTTCTGTAAGAGCATTTCTTTCTTTCTTTTGTTGCATTTCTAAAATAATTACAGCTTTCTCAGTCTTTTTGTGGTTAACGATTCAATATACTCCAAAACTTTCAGGCTGCCATAGTAGTTGGGTGAAAAATAGCTCAGGCTCAAATGAGTTATAAAGTGTTTTTGTTACCAGAGTGGAGATGGAATGATCTAAAGTGTTATGCAAGAGACACAGGGATTAATAAGTTAATGTATTGGTTTGTACTTTTTTTTATTGGACATTTATTGTAAAAAAAACTGTGTAAATATCAACTCTGATGAAAGTGACTAATTTGGAATTTTGATTTCCTATTGTCTCCCTGTAAATATGTACAGTTTTATACAAATTTTAACAGGGGTGATGAGCAATGATTTATTTTACAGAAAATTAAAATTTAAGCTTGACATTGACTAATAAGTGTTGGTAAAGGATATTGCTTTCTCATTCAGGACAAAATTGTTAATATATATATATATATATACATACAATTTTATGTTTAGAATATCTGTTTGTAGAGTGTTATATTTTCATGTCAAATTCTATGCGAATAAATCATGAAACTTGAACTGACTGAAGTGTCTTTAGGTCATTCCCAAAGGGGGGACATTTCCATGTTCTGTTGCCCAGTAAATTGTAAATGGGCTGATTCATCGATGTCATGCTTATAACTGTGCCGGAATTGCAACAGGGAACTGCTGCTTTTTCTTTCCTCATCGTTACTATCATCAGTTTTCCTCTACTTCTTTTGTATGTTTATCACACTCTTGTGACCCGCTATTTCCGGGGTGCCTTGATAGTCGAAGCAGACTTTGTGCTGTTGAAACTAGAGAGGTGAGCAGAGTAAGTCTGATTCCCTGTTAGGATTTCTCTGTTGACGTCCACCCCTTTGCGCTCATATGATCTTATGCAGTTGTGAGGGCCGTAAAACCTCTACTAAAACTAAAACTTGAACAACAAATGTGAAAATGAATTGTTTATTTTAGATTTATACATCTGTCATCAATTCCAGGTCTTGTCATTCCAGATGTCTTTGTTTTCATACAAACTAGATGCACATATCATAGAAACACTTAGGTTTTAACCTAAACATGCACCTTCCCATGTACTTGTATACATAGGTTACACTCCTGCCTTCACATACACTCACACGTGCAAACACACACACACTCACACACCCACACATTCTCTCACACACTCGCGTGCATATACACACAATCATACAGACATACACGCACGTTTACTTTCTCACATATATAACACACATACACTTACACACACACAAACACACACACACACTTCTAAATTCCTATACTCTATTGAGTTCCTACAAAAAATATGTCTGCATTAAAAATCGTAAAACATTCTCTACATGAACACTGCAAAAAAATTTCTACTTTTTCATGTACAAAAGGGAAAAAAATGTCCCCTGTGTCAAAATTTGTATTTATCTTTTCCTGTATCTGTTTTAATTCTGTCACAGTTTAGGATGGCTTTGCAGATGGTTGGAGTGTGCTACTGGTAAGTTCTACTTCTTTACTTTCTCTCTGTTGTTTGTCGGTCTGTCTTACTTTTTCACAGTACTAAATGACCGTTATTGTGCTGATGTGCTTCTCCTTACTCAACCAAACAAACAAAACAAAATGTTTCTGACATAAAGAAATGTATTTTTGACATCAACTGTATTGCAGGCAAGGAAGTGTTTTTGGCATTATTTTGTGTAAAAAAATTACAAGTTTGGAACCTTCCTCTACTCTGTTATGATTCCGTTAACAGCAAAGTACAATTCACATGCAAATCATCTTATGGAGACAAAAATGTCTTTGCAGTAACAAACAAACAAACAAACAAATAGGATTCTCCAACAGAAGGAAACCCCAACTAGTCGTGATACTGTAAACATAAATACAGAATCATTTTTTTTACAACCAGTACTTGTGCAGCTGAAATGAAAACTGGCCGCTAATGGAATGAGGTATTTACAAAGCTAACACTTCCTCAGGGTATAGTGTTAATTATTTCCTGACATGTCCTGAACATCTTATCAAAAACTCTGCACAAGGTTTCTCCCCCTAGTGAGTGGTTGGAGGTTGTCACTGGTAGGTTCTACTTTTTTTCTTTCTCTCTTTTGTTATTATCTATCTGTCTTGCTTCTTTCCTTCACTATACGACTGGCCATGTGCTTCTCTTTACTCAAACTCAAAGCTTCTTTCCTATCACCAATTGGTCACAAAATCGTTATGTACACATGGTAAAACATGAGACTTTACTCAGTGGCGATAAGACCTTTTTTTTTGTCTGCGGCTGAAATATTTTACCAAGATACCAGCATATATAGATCTCATGTAGGAGAAGATCTAATAGTTTCAAAAGTAAAATTTACATTGTATTATTCTATGAAAGACTTGTTTCATTACATGCAAAATTTGGTTAGAGGGAAGGAAAAGAAAAAAATAATGTTAGCAGACAAAATGCCTTAAAAAAACTATTTTTCCGAGTATATAAAGTTTAGATTGTGCACCTGGTACATGGCATAAGACTGAACTTTACATTGATGTCAATAGTTTATATATACAGTGGAACTTGTACTTCATCAAAACATAATATTTCTGAGTTGGCATCTTTCTGAACTAAACGAAAAAAATAAAAAAGAAACGAAAAATGTAGAGTGCCATGACAAGAGAAGATTAAATACTGTGATGGCCAGTCAGCACCTTAATTTTGGAACTGCTGGAGTCAAAGAAAGATAGACCCTTACACTTTGTACACTTCAGGAATTGTAAAGAATTGACATTTAAATTCATTACCAATGGATGAGCAAAACAGGGCATCAAACAATACAAACCTATTCTTCAATCCACAATAAATATAATGCATAATTTGAACAAAAACGTTCCATTCATTTATGTATCCACATCATACTTATAAAGTGTACTGTAGATTCATATTTCAACTTTTAAGTAATTCTTTTAGAGTTTATTTATTGCTCTTTGTCTCCATTTCAAGTTCTGCATGACATTGACAGATACTGATTTGTAAAAAGGCTTCCACAAAGTTAACTACACAATAACTAGAACACAATTATGAAATAGATCTCTGGGTTACAGGAATCAAACAAAAAACATTCTCTTGACATTTAAATGCTTCCATTGTCACATAGAAACATAGAGCCACTGGGAAAACCAGAAAAATAATAAATTATATGAAATTAAACCCAAACTAGAACAGCGAAATCCTTCGGATCTCTCCAGAAGAGACGAAGTCATTTTTACTCGATTGCGCATCGGACACACGGCCCTGACCCACAAATACCTCCTACAGGGAGAGGAGAAGCCGTTCTGTGTCGGATGCGACACAGATTTTACCATTAGACACATTTTAACAGAATGTCTAGACTTTGGAGAGATCCAAAGGAAATATTATAAATGCAAGAAATTGCAGGATATTTTCTCCGTCGTTGTTCCCGGCAGAATTTTAAATTTTATAAAGGCCATTGGCCTTTATGGCGAGTTGTAGAGTGAATTTAATACTATTAAAAATTTTTATTGTTACTTAAAAGTTGTTTTAGATCACAAATGTACTTACACCAAATTTGAATATTTTAACTTTTTAGCATTTTAAAGTAAATTAGTTAGCCAGTCGTGAAGTGAACTTTCGCAGAGGTGAACAACTTGTGTTTCGCGCGCTCATATGACCTTAGCAGTTGCGAGCACCGTAAAACCTTATACTATACATACATAGAAATAAAGTACAAGAAAAACTAAGTGAAAAATCGGCACTACTTTCTACGTAACAGCATTGTGTACATGGAAACTGATAGGTGAGATTTCGTAAATCGCCAATAAGATTTTGAAATATTTCAAACATTTACACATTCGTTCAAGCAGCAAGATATTGTAAACAAACATTTGAAGGAGGGTGGAGGGGGACAAGAAAACCTTTCCCACAACATTTTTATTTCAATCTCATGGCCTGTAATAAGCAACCAAGCTCATCATCTTCAAAACAACATGTAATAGAGACCATAGCGAAGAATAAAACTGTTTTAAAAGCAAATGCCTCTTTGAATAAAAGTATTTTGCTAAAGAAAAGCATTTTGGCATGATAATGAAAGGGAAGCCTTTTTTGTAGTTAGTACATTCTTTGAGCAATTTATTTTAATGCTGGAGTTTCCTGTTCCTGGACGTTAATGAGAGGAAAAAAGCTGGAAAAAATATCCAAGAAGATCATTCAAAACATGTTACAAGGCTATTTTGTATTTCTAGATTGAGCAGTAAACCGTAATGTCTTCCCTAACAAAAGTACAACCTTTGCAATGGACGTTTTAAAAAATGGGAAACTATACATACAACCTAAATTTGTAGAATTAACATAAGGTCTTTCCAAATAATGCTTACTTGAAAAACATTTTAGTTGGAAAATAACCATCCTATCTAAAATACAGTTGAACCTGCTCTAATGTCCACATGTATATGACAATCACCTGTGCAAATGACCCGTTCACATAATTGCCTTTGTTTATTTCTTACATTAATATGACACTGTGTAAAACAGCCACCTGTCTCAGATGCCCACTTTTCTCCGAGACAATGGGTGGCCATCTTGGACTGATTCAGCTGTAATTGGTAGGCATCGTGGTGAAATCAGGCACCCGTCAAAATAATGAAATTGGAGCCCCATTTGGTCCTTTTTATCGAATTTTTTTGTTTGGCTCATCACCTTTTATGTCCATTTAAAAACACATTGCTGTGTGGATTTTTACACAAACACGATTGATTTAAGGTACAAAAACTGGAAATTTTATGTTTTCAAGGACTCTAAAGCTTTGGAAGCTACTGAATTTGGCGGCTATTTTCTCGCGTATGTTACATCAGAAACCAGGCAACCCCACCTCCTTAAATCCAAGATATCTTGACTTTTATTGAAGATAGGTAAATTTTTCATCAAAAGTAAGGCAAATTAACAAGTTTTAAGATGATACAAATAACTTTATATGTCGCAAAATTGAAGAGTGCTTGATTCCACCACAATTTAAGAATATCAGATAACGCAAAGAAAATAAACTGAAGCAAAGAGAAGCAGGGGTGAACAGGGCTAGAAGCCACTGAGGACATAACTGGGCAGCTGAGAACAGACAACGCAATGTTTCTCTTAGACAGCAGAGGTAAATGATGGTTCAGGAGCACTAACTTCTGTTTTAAATCCAATATTATGGTACCTAACAAAAAACAAAAATGTAATTGTGGCGTCGGTGGCCTAGTGGTTAGGCTCTCGGACTCGCAACCGTAAGGTCGTGGGTTCGAATCCCGTCAGGGGCCCGACGTTGTGTCCTTGGGAAAGGCACTTTACACTTATTTTCCTCACTTCACCCAGGTGGGAATGGGTACCCGGCTATAGACAGTGAAAGATCTTGTCAGTTTGTTAGTGTTTGAGCGCTTAATCGGCTGCTCGCACTGTATGCTTCCCGGGAAGCTGAGAATGTTTCGGAGTGCTCTATGGTCTGCTGGGGTAATAATATAGTGTAAAGCGCATAGAGCCTGCTGTAGAGCGGGGATATGCGCTATACAAATGCTATCTATTATTATTATTATCAATTAGACTTTTCCACTATTATTTTCTCTCAAATAGAAACCGTTTGAGTTCACATCATATTCAAGATTTCAGGTCGGTAATAGACTAAAACAGCAACCACTTTTGCACTCAGTGACCTGTGACTGTTAACTTGACTGGTGCCTTTTCCTTTGTTCGTGACTTAGTCTGGGTGACTGTCTGTTCCATGGTCGAGCTTCCTGAGGTGGAACTGGGTGCGTTTTGTACCAAACTCACCACTCCTTCTCTCTCCAGGAGGTAATCCTTTGAGTGGATGAAAAAGAGAAAGAGAAAAATATAATTTTGCGTTTGTTCCAAGTATGAAATTAAAAGAACAAGGGCACAATGATGGTCACGTTAACCAGGGAAACGTTAGTAAACACCAAGCAGGAATGTGTTTTTGAACGGACATAAAAAGGTTCCGAGGCCAAAACAAAAATTTCTATTAAAATTGCTCAACGGGTGGAAAAAGTTTTTATTTTATTTCATTACTCTGAACAGCGCTTACTCTCACCATGATGCCTCACACATGTTTGTGTGTTTGTATATGTGTGTGTGTGTTTGTGTTTATGTGTGTGTGTGTGTGTGTTTGTGTGTGAGTGTGTATTTGTACATGCATGAACATGTTTGTGAGCCAGTGTATTTGTTTAAGAAATTTTCCACAATGTGGTATAACTGCGATACTGAACAAATGCTCCTTAACGTAAACAGTTGTCTAGGCCTATTTACCTTTTTATTTAAATAGCTTCTCCCGCAATTTAGCGAAAAAATGGTATAGGTTTAAGTAGTTAAACGCCCCTATCAACAATTTTTGGTTATTTAACTCATTCGCTACGTATTATTTTCGGCTTGTGGACGAATTTTTTTCAGGAGGGCGAATGAGATGATGACTAGTGGGCAGTTAAAAGGTCTTTGGGGCCACAAATTCTAATAAATATCAACGTATTATATACCAATATTTTCAGTATGGTTTGTAGAATACATCTGTAATGTTTATTATGTATTTTTCAACTTTTGTTCCTGTAAGATTCGATTATGCAACACAATTTTGATTGGATGCGGATAAAATTTGAAAATAAAAAATTAATAATCTTTGGTGAAACTAAAAAAATATGTTTGCACCTAGTCAAATGATACATCAAAATGACCATAAATGAATATAGAACTGGAAAATATTGAAAAGTTTGCAGTTATTTACATGCATTCCATAAAATTTGTACATTTGGATCATAACATCTGATATTGAAAAAAAAAATAATGTTAATCTTGAAAAACGATCACAAACAGAAAAAAACCCACTCGTATCTTATATGGAATTATTCAGAATCGTATTTGAAATAAACCTATACATGTCTTGAGTGGCACTTTGTGTAATTTTATCAAAAAGTAGTGATTTTGGGGTGAAAAAAATATTTTGACCATTTAGATCTAGACCTAGATCTGGCACTCAAAAATATTGATTTTTCAATAACAGTGCATTGGCAATATGAGTCCAATTGTATCAATATTATAAAAAAGAGTCCTACACTTCTTAAGTGGGCAAAATAATGATAGATTTTGTTGTGTAAAATTACTAAGACTGGTGTCCGGGCTATAATTTTGGCATCGCGATAAAACAAAGTCGAATAAACTAAGAAATCGCGTTTCAAAACAGCATCTAAACTTCCGATTTTCAGTGGAAATGCTTGACCCGGAAGTCAACATTATATTATGACCTTTATTTTAACATGGATATGTGGATTGGAATAGAATATAAGCTAAAATTGAAGATCGGTTCTCGAGCCGCCAGGGGCGGCTTAGCGTACTGACAGCACTTTAGCCGCGCCGACCCCCCATGGCTCGGCGTAGCGAATGAGTTAAGAGGCGGGACCTCCGTATTTAACGTTCATCTGAAAGGACCGAGCCAAGTGGGAAATTCATGTAAAGTGCCTTTCCAAAGGACACAACGTCTGACAGAGCAGAGGTTCGAACCACCCAACTTGCAATCTCACGATTACAAGTTCGGTAGCCTGATCACAAGGCTACCAACACCACTAATTTAGTGTAAAGAAAAGGAAATTTTGAATTAATTATCTACGTACTCTTATTCTGTTCAACTTTGAGTTCCAATCTGCCTTGTCAGGTTCGTCATCAGACTTTCTGCATTTGTCATAGATATTGTTTATTGCCATGAATATGACCCCAACTTCCGTCCTCTGTGAATGGAAATGAACGTAAGAAATTGAGTGTATTATTTGTTATAGGAATCAGACAAAAAAATTCATATTTACAGATACATGCACAAAATTTAATATTTCTTACATTTCATATAAAACAAGGCACTACATCCCGGTCAACATTAATATTGAGCTTCAATTAAGTTAAGGATCAGTTGTTTGACTGCAAAAGAAATCTGATCAATGACATAGACTTGAGCAGACATTTCCCCATCAAGAAGAAGAAGAAGAAGAAGAAGGAAAAGAGAAGGAAAAGAAGAAGAAAAAGAAGAAGAAAAAGAAGAAGAAAAAGGAGAAGGAGAAAAAAACAACAAGAACAAAAACAAGAAAAAGAATGGAGATAACTTCTGTAACGCCCACTACCACACAATACATCACAAGGTGCTTTACATTACCTTCATCTTAACACAAAATAAAAGTTAATGAATGTGCATACAATACGTTCCTTAAATAAATGAATACAGTCATCATACAATAAAAAAAATCAAATTTGATCAGTTCATAAGTGAGTTTACCCTTGTTCTCATTTCCCATTTGCTCATTTCGAACGTTTGCTCCATTTGCTCATTCTTGTCCAAGTTCTCCTCTTGCTTCTCCTGAAGCTGTGACAGCATCGATGTGTTGGACAGCTTGTCCTTTTGGTGGTCCTGCTTCATCACATCCAGGGCCTTTTTGCAAGTTTCCAACTGTGAGCACAGAATACTTCAGGATGAGTATACAAAATGAAAAACTGTTAGTGGAATCCTGTTGTAACGAGAGGGAGGGGACTGGTGCAAAATGTCCGTTATAGCAGGATTCTTGCTATAAGGGATATTTTGCTATCTCCCCTGAAGATGATTTTGTTTCAACATGACCTCTAGGTCTTACTTGATCAAAAATCGAATCAGGTTTCTTTCTTTCGATGTTCTCAGCTCTGCGTTGGCGATCAGAAAGAAAGGGCTCTGGGCTAACTTGCCTGCAGTGTTTTCCCCTACCCCACCACACCCTGTGGTGCATTCCATCTGCTTGCCCACGTTACATATTCGCGCCATCCATCACATCGCTGTGACCTCTCCATTCCTGCATCAGAGAAGTGAGAGGCATGGTAAACCTAGATAATCTAGACTAGGCCTAGGCTAGCCTATCAAGTGATGCGTTCTGCTTGTCTGCGCATGCCACAACCTCCCTACTCAGTCACTCCGGCCTTCATTGTTTACGCACATGGGCTCTCCCATTCTTTGTTTCGCTAGATCAATAACAAGTTTCTCAACTGGCGAGGTTTTACATTATAATAATAATAACAATAATAAATAGCATTTATACTGCACATTTCCATTTTCTAAAAGATGCTCAATGCGCATTTCAACGAAAAAGACATCACATCTTAAAAATTAATCGACATGCGTATACGTAAAACAAAGTATCATACATGATATAATTTTAATGTATATATGTGTAAAAATTTATATTATGAGAAAAACAATCTCACAGTGAGGTTGGAAATGCGTTCACTAAAAATATACAATGCAATAAAAATTCACGAACGGTCACAATAAAGTTCAAACGTGAGTAACTAGAAAGATTCATTCTATACAGATAAAAAAACATTTCCGTTCTCTCTCTCTCTCTCTCTCTCTCTCTCTCTCTCTCTCTCTCTCTCTCTCTCTCTCTCTCTCTCTCTGGGTGTCTCTCTCTCTTATCTCTCTATCTCTCTCTCTCTCTCTCTCTCTCTCTTTTTCTCTCTCATTCTCACACACTATTTTTTCAGTCTCACAGTCTGGCATGCACATGCATATACTACGGTGTACTACTACGCCAATATATATATACGTACATATATATATATATATATATATATATATATATATATATATATATATATATATATATATATATATATCAGAGTACATCATTATGACAGGTATGCTTTTGTGAATAAAAAATGCTGCAGCTGATTTTTGAAAATGGAAATTGTTGGGGTAGATCTTATTTTATATGGGAGTTCATTCCATACCTGGGGACCAAAGAATAAAAAAGAACGCTCGCCGTACGTTTTGTAATTTCGTATACTTGCCTATGCACTGAGCACAGCAGCAGCAATATTCCACTATAACCGCCTCACATGTTTGTTAGATTGGGCTATAGCAGTATTTTATTTACAAAGATAAAGAAGAGAAAAAAACGAGGTTTTAGAATAGTGTCTTTATAACAGACTTCTCCTTATTTCAGGACTCATTATAAGTGGACTCCACTGTAAATACATTGTCATGTTAATAGTTGTTTCTATTTTGAAAAACTAGAGGTTTTATAAAAATTTCTTCAGTGTAGAATGAGTTCTCTATACATCGTCACTGTGCCAGCAAAATGGCACATCTAATTTTTGCTTCTTTTGAGATAAAGGGAAAAACTTTCACTAAACTATTACTTTTATCATTTAATAATGGTAAAACTTGCCAGGCATGTTTCTTTTGTGACAGCTAGAGCAATTTTGCTTTGATTTTACAAAAAGATAGGTATAGTACCACCAAACAAAATAAAAGGCTTGTAGCATTTTGAAGCCATTTTGATAGCACAGTGATGATATGTTTCTTCAATGTACATTTTATTGTGTTCTTAAACAATAAGAATGATTTTTTAACTTTCAAAATCTTTTTGAATGATTTACCACGATTTCTATTGTTACATTTTGAGTTCTCTTTAAACAATTGAACTATTATGGGCTTAGCGGTATTTTGCTACTTAAGTCTTTACATGTATTTGAAATTATTGGATCAGTAATGTGGATAAATACTCCTAACATCATCTTTTTTTTAAATTCATCATTCTGTTCAAGACAAGTCATAAGTGTCTGTACATGTGAGTGTATATATTGAATCATTATTTGTCTAAATATTGAAGAGAACAGTTCAGTATCAAAAAGCTCAAAGAGCTAGAGACAGGGGCAAAGGCAAAGAGGGTGAACATTTACATTAGTATATTATGTATTGTTATGAATGCATACTGGAGAACAAGAAGGCAAGGTAAAAAGACTAACCTCATCAGTCATTTCATCCAAGTTGTTGACTAAGCCTTTGTTGGATTCGCTGAGAGTCCGATGCCTCATCATTAGACTTTTAACTTTATCCTCCGACGATGGCAAGTAGTCTAGAGTAAAAGATATGACAATCCTGATAAGTCTAAAATATTTGCAAACAATGAACCTTTGCAGCCTGTTATGAAGAAGACTGAGTTATGTAAAATGAATGTTGCTTTATTCGTTGTTTTCTCAGTCAAGTGATGCTACATGGGGCACCCACAGACCAACTTCACAAAGGATAATTACCAAAAAGTTATGAATTGAAGAATGTAGTTCCTTCTCCTTTCGACCAATTTGACACTCTCCCCCTTGATCTCATTTCTTCACCAACCATCTGCTAAACAAACGTGAGGCATTCTGACAAAAGGGGTTACTTCTTGTAATCCATTGGTGGAAATGTTTACCGAAAATCAACAATTTTCAACTGATGCCCTTTTCCTTAAGTTCAATATGTCTTTTATTATTTCATACTAATAAACTGTACAATACAAACTCCACTTATTAACTTGATGTATCTATTCCATAGGGCTAAAATTCGTAAAATAAATCATTTTTCAACATGCCACATAAAGTATCAAAAGTTCAAATCATATAGAAACATGTCACTATTGAGTATACCGCCCATGGTTTTATCTGGTCAACCTCATACAATGGTGTCCTACCTTCTGGCATTGCCTCTATGACACTCTGAAGATATTCCTCATAAATTTTGTACGCTGCTAGCTTCATCTCCAGTAATCTGTGCCTACGATGTAGAAAGAGAGAAAATTATCGAGAAAGTAAATGAAATAATAAAACCACAAGTAAAAGTAAACTCATTTGCGCGGTGGAAACTATAGAAATAAAATCTGTGGCTTATTCTTTTACAAGATGTATAGTTCACAAAATTTGAATGCAATTCCAAGACACGTAAAATACAAAGAGGTGTACTAGGCCCATTTATTTTCTTAATCTGTTGTGCTGGTTGTATGCACTCAAGAAGTATTTTTTTTCTAAATTTAAGTTTTAAATGTTGAAGAAAGCAATTTTCAAAAAAACATAATGTATTGCAATTGTTTAAAATAAATGAAAGAGTTGTTTTTTTTCTCTCTCCTTATAAATTTTGATTTTGTGATGATAATAATAA